AAAGACTCAACCAGCAAGGAGGTTGTTTGAATATTTAGATAAATCTTGTACTAAACTCACCCTATTTAGAAAGGCCCTAAGATCCTCAAGAATACGAATAGAAAATGCCTGTACTTATGAGGCTTCATAGAGTAGTATTTACTAACTATAAAAAATAACAAAATAAGGAAATCAAAAAAAAAAAAAAAAAAAAAAAAAAAAAAAAAAAAAAAAAAATGCTACGCAAAGGGTTTGGCATGTCCAAGCCTGCTACGTGCCGCCTTCCAACGTGATACAGATTAGCTCCAACGAATCAACTACCAGTGTCAACAGTGTTCCTCAAACGTCTCAAAGGCGTAATCCAGATTCGGCTTGGCTGATTCATTTAGTCAACTACTTGGGTTTGTAAGCGGCAAGCCGAGGTCGATACATGACTCGCGGAATGATTACTTGTATTCCCGAACTTACTAACTACTTTCTTCCGGGAAAGATGAAAGCTGGGAAATTTAAGACAGAGTTTCATAGTGGGTCTATTCATATTATACAATACCTTATTTTATACCTAAATTAAATACAAAGGGTTGTTCAAAGTGAGCGGAAGCTAGTACCTACCTTCGCCAAACATAGGAGTCAGTGCCAATATGCGCTTTGTCGATTGATTTACTTGTGATTGTCATCCTGAATTGCTGCTGCGTGAACCTTGGCTCAGTGCTGATATTAGTTGTACTAGATTATTGATCTTCTGTAAGGCTACGAAATCCCAATCTACATGGAGGTCGAATTAAATGAACGAAAAGGTCTGTCATTCCTAACTCCTAACAGAATGGAAAGTTTATGTAACAGAACTTCGTGGAATCCCCAAACATAATAAGGAAGAATCTGTTGATTTGACATCTATGCGGAAGCTGTATGTTTCATAGTTCCGTTGGCGGCGATGGCGAGTTCGATTGCCAAGCTAGTTAATGAGGACCTTCCGCTGCCTTAAGAGTAAAGGAGTCCCTTAAAATCTCTTAGGGTTGGGTTAATTTAAAGTGGAAACTCGGCTCGGGAACTAGAAGCAGTGTCCGAGTCGGCATATTCAGTAATCAGTTCCTCCGTTTGAATCATGCTGTTGAATTGTTGCTCCACTTGTATTGGTAATCTGATAGTCTGTCCGTTAAATGATTGTACTCTGTAGTATGACAATGGGCTACAGTGTTTCAATACACCTGGTTAAAAAGTAAATCAAACCCCCTGTCATGCCCCCTAAAAGTTTTCTTCACCTCCAGTATCAATTACCTATTCTCTTCAACCTCACGACTAAGATGCCGTCTCCGTTAAACGATGCAGTCAAGCTACCCTGTGGCTTGGTCTTCCCCAATCGCTTGTCCAAAGTATTTGCCAAATTGAACTCGGATAGATAAGACATTGCTTATGATTATGCAGGCGGCCATGGCCGAAAACCTAGCCACATCGGATAGCAACCCCAATGAGGACTTCAACCTGGCCTACAGCAAGTGGAGCGATGGAAGATGGGGAATGATCATTACAGGTTCATTGTCTGTTCCTTTGCATATCCAACAAATCATAGTTCTAAGTATTACAGGAAACGTGCAAGTCGACGTGAACCACCTCGGAAACTTCAAGGACCCTGCCGTGCCAGCTGACTACGACGCAAACTGTTCCACATTATGGAAAGCCTACGCCGAAGCAAGCCAGAAGCATGGCACGCCTACAATTGTGCAGATTGCCCACCCGGGAAGACAATCGCTCCGGGGAGCTGGGCGCAGAGGGCTCTTTGCTCCGACAATTGCACCAAGCGCAATTCCGCTGAGTATTGGTACTAACTTTCTGGATTCTGTTATTACCTCCCTAGCATTTCCTAAGCCGAGAGAGATGGACCAGAAAGATATACATAATGTAATTCATCTGTTTGTGGATTCTGCGCGTTTTATTGCGGAGAGTGGATTCTCGGGTATTGAGTTGCATGCAGCGCATGGATATCTTCTAGGTGAGTTTAACCTTGCATAAATTATCTATCCGATTAGGATAGGATGGGACAGGTATACTAATAAGGCAATCTTATCTTAACATTAGACCAGTTTATAAATCCCAAGGTACATTCAATTGAAATATACTATACACGGCGACTAATCACTAACTCTTGGAACAGACCAATCTCCGAACTGATGCGTACGGAGGCTCGGCAGAGAACCGCGCGAAACTCCTCGTTGAGATCATCAAAGGATGCCGAGAAGTCGTGCCAGCCACGTTCTGCATCGGCGTTAAACTAAACTCGGCTGACCACAGCGCATTGAGTCTCGAGGATACGATGACCCAAATTAGGCTCCTTGTTGAGTCTGGGATTGACTTCCTTGAAGTTAGTGGTGGGACTTATGAAAATCCACGGGTACGTAAGGCTCAGTTTCCAGTACTATATGTCGTACTGCTACTTATTTCATTGCCGATTTAGATGGTAGCTGGCGACAAGCCCGCAGTCGCGGAAATGAAATCCACACGTACAGCAGCCCGCGAAGCATTTTTTCTTGATTTCGCAAAAGAAACCCGCAAGCGGTTCCCGAATCTCGTGCTCATGCTCACCGGAGGGTTTCGCAGCCGTGCTGGTGCAGAGGCTGCCATAAAAGAGAATGCGTGTGATCTCGTCGGTATCGCGCGCCCAGCAGCAGTTAATCCGAGATTTGCAGAATTGCTTCTAGATGAAGATACCAGTGATGAGGATGCACAGATCTCTCTGGATAGGGTGAAGCCTGGGCTGCTTCCTAGGCTTCTACGGAGTCGAATCTTGGGGGCGGGAGCGGAGACTGTGAGTTTTATTTCCATTATCTATGGCTCTTGGAAACTCTCTAACAGCAATAGACTTTCTATGCAGACCAGATTCATCGGTTGGCCAAGGGACTGCCAACCGCTGCCCCAGGGCGTTGATGGGCTTATTACTCTGCATCACATAGCGTCTATATTTAGGTCTGCGGGGCACTTATTGCAGGAACCTAATAATATTTTGTTGGAGATTGCGGCGTTGATATTTACATAGTGTTCAGTAGTACATAGCCGCTAAGGGGATGGCTATAATCCGGGTTGATATATATAAGCAGCTTTACTTTGTTAATTGATCTGTGGGTTAGTGGGGATCTCGAAGTCCTTAAGTTTGAGCGCCAGCACCGTCTGTACAGTGGGATGTGCCTTCTGGTTCCCGGGCGCCGGTAGTGAACTTGAGTGTATGTATAAGAGTACCTATCGACATCTCTCAGATAGACATTTCATATCCAAGTCGTTTGTTGCCCCCAAGCGAGGATTTGCTGGAGATGTCTCCCCGTTTGTTTCTTGCTCCTGGCTTGTTGCGTCACACCAAAAGTATAGATCGGAATAATCTTCAAACATCCAAGATGGTGCAAGAAGTAGTCCGCATATAAGTTCCACTATAGTATCGATTTCTGTATCATACATCACATCATGCAAGTGACAAAGGGCGGCATCATACTTCTAATGCTCAGAATAGCGCTGCCAAGGGGTTAGCTGATGTAGATACTCGCCTAGTTAATGATGTGCGATCATCACAGGATTGCTAAACTAAGAGATCAAGAGATAGTCCCAGTCCATCTTGAAAATGGGGTTATAAAATTATTGCCTGTTCCTTCATTATTCTGTTTTGATTGGATCGGCGAGCAAAAGTAGACTACGTGTGGGGAGGCGGTCATGAAGTCCCTATTGATAGAGATGCATTTTATCAAGACTGGCTTACTCAGTGCACCCAACTCCCTGCTCACCTCTTGCTCAGTGATCGCCTCAGGCTGCTCAGGGCGGACTCAGGGCGTGCTCAAGTCTACTCAGTAAGCAAAAAGCAGCAAGGAGTGAGCACTAAAACGGAAAGGGAAAGCCTTCGACCTGGCGAGAAAATCAAGTATGTATGCTTTCTAGATGGATGTACATGCATACGATGGTACATAGAATACTTTATTTTGGCACCGTATCAGTTATTATTCTGAACTTGAAGCACCCAATAGAATCCTTCTCAAATGAATCCATCATGATCGGAAGTAATAGAATGGTCCCTCCTGTTTCTTTGCGGCAATCAAACCCCCAACTAATTTGACATTTCTATTCAGAAGACCGAACCAGTACCAATCACTCCCCTTGCAGGTAAAATACTTGAAATCTCTGAATTTACGCCAGCATTGAAAAGCTCACTAGAATATAGAGACAACACCGGCATCCAAACACATCCCCATGGCTGCTTCATTTCTTGCAGACATCCTAAATGCCCAGGCAGCTTCCCTAAGTATCTCAGCTAAGATCTTATCGTCTGGATATGGCTGTTAAACGAGTATAGATCTAATATAAATTTCAGCGCAGTGCCAGTCACTTTCTTCTTTGGCCCAGACATCGCGGTCAGTATCACCCAGAAACCTCTGCTAAATGGATCTGCTCGACTTGCTGGCATTAGTGTAGCGAACAGACGATTCTTGGGCGTCCGATGCCGCATTCGATCTGTAGAGTTTTGAGTCCTTCAAAAAAAGACAACTAGTTATTGATAGCCACATCTCCTTTTTTTCCCATAAGCTCGAGAGTTATTTTTATAAGGTCTCTAACCATCTGTGAGACAATTTATCATAGCAATAGTCTGCCCTGCGGAGATGATGACCTTGGCCAGATGGACGAGATGGAGAGGATTTTCGGTGTCCCAAGGCCCAAATGTTTCCAGGGCCAGAAACTTATTAGTGTCAGCTTCATCCTTGTAGTACTCAAACAGCTTTTGGTGGAACCTCGCAAAGGTGAGGAAGTATACTTGTACACAAGCTCCAGCCCTATGGCTCATTTTACCCCTGCTGCGTATATTTGTCTGGACTGCCTCGTCGCACTTTGATCCCCGGCAACACGGTGATATAATGTATCCCATCTATTATCGACTGATGGCGTGGGTTATGAACAGACAACCTGCTTCGGAGTTATTGTCTACTTCATATTAACGCGAAAGAGTATCAATGTGATCATGGTGCGCACACTTCTGTCTTATGTAAATGATAAAGAGATTGCCGAGCTAGTCAGACAACAACATCCAAGATGAGCCATGATGGCATACATCCTGTTGCAAGATTTGGTGGGTTGGTAGTATCTTATGTTTGCCCGACTGATAGTAGAACTGTTCATTTTGTTCGATAAGGTAGAGAAAGCAACGTGACTAGTGCTTCGTCTAGCAAGGCAGCCATCTGGCATGATAGATGAGAACAGAATTGTGGTTCAATCCACATAAACCGTTCCGAGAAGGATTGGTCTGTACTGTGCTTTAATTAATACCATGAACGGTGTAACGATTGATGGATTGTGGAAAATTCATGCAACAAACCTCAAGGAAGGGAGTTAGTGGATGTGGTGGTAATTTCTACAGTAACTAGCAGAAGTAACAATGTTGGCAACACTAGATGTAGTGGTGATGATAGTGCTCGACAGATTTGCCAGTTCGGTCTGACACTGATAGTTGATCTCCATAGTAACGGAATGCCCTAAATCTGTGAGTGTTTTCGCGACCTCTGTAAGCTGTCTGAGGAAACGAAAGGAGAAGACCAAGAATTTGTGTCATCCTCCACCCATCTTGGCTACAGAAGCCTGAATAGCAAAGTCGGATATCGTTTGTTCTTACAGCTAAACTGGAACGAAAGATGCTGGTTGTTGATGGCTGAGTCTTATTGACATCTCCTTCGTATGTCTCGATGTCGATGAAGAATGATGACAGAAATGCGGATGTCTGGTCGTGCACTTATTTGACATATCTTGACGAATAGGCTGTTTAGCGTAAAGTTCTGTAACAACTTATGCCAACGATAGGGCGAACGGCCGAAATCCTACTAACAAGGATATGATATGATCTCTTGGTCACCCCAGCGTATCGACAATGGAATGAGAAAGAACGGAGAATATAGAACGGATCATATGCTGCGTAAGGATAATTATTGTCTCGTTTATATATATCCTCCTTCGAAGGTAAAGACCTGGATATCTGTAATAGACCAGCCCATCATAAAGCCAGCATCTATCACCAGTTAGCCATGGTAGAGGCACTTGTCAGAACTGGAATCCTAGATGGAGTATCGCAGCCCTTTAATGAGGAAAATCCGACGAATCGCTCAATTACTCGACATTGACGATCTGTGGCTGCCAACCTTTCCCAGTTCAAAGGCGACAAACTTTACCTGATTGTGTGAGGTAGACAGCTTATACACAGACATAGATCTAGTCGGAAGATGTCTTTTTTTTCGGTTCTGCACGGAAGATATTATGCAATTTTCGTCTGTAGATCTTTCGGTGCCCAGATATCCTGAAAATATCAAACCAAGGCAATGAATGTTAGCTTCTGTGGTTTTCTGACAGTTTCCTGCTCGGATACCGAAATGGTAGCTATGTCCAACCCTCAGCTTTAGGAGCGTATCTCCACCGCTCCTCTTGAATACAGAGTATTCTGTATATGCTGGCTGTCCACGGGAATCATCATATTCTGCTCGGTTTCCATATATCCCACCCAGTTAATCCAGCTATGGCTATAATTATAGCTAAGTCTCTTTCCAATGACGTGATGCCGCTTTCCAGGGGTGTTGTTAGCTGCCCTTGAAGCAAGTCTCTATTTTCCAGACAGCTGGATCTGGTCATTTCGTAGGTAAATTCTACCGGCCTTGTCCAGGACTTTTCCTGTCTTCGTTTAGACTGCCGATAAGTTTCTGAGGTGTGTCTTGTGGAATTGAACGGACTTCTGTAGTCACTATATTAGAACTTGACCTTGAGTGCCTCAGTGATTCTTAGAAGACTCTCTGCCCATTTGATCCATTAAGTGTGGTGGAACAACAATCAGTATTGGATGCCCTATCAAAAATAGCTCTGTGTGTTTCTTAGCCCAGTCCCACTCTTCTTCCAGGGGAATTGTAGCTTTGATTCTGGGATGGTCAGGGCCTTGGTTAAGAAGCCATTCAAATGCTTCCCTGGTTTTGTCAACCTGGGTATTCCGGCGTATCAAGCCGCCATTTGATCCTTTCCAGCCGGTTAAAGTCCTCTATGCTATGCTTGATTAGGTTATTGGACTCAGCCCTAATCTTGAAACCCTATTCTAGCTAGTTCACCATATTGTCCTAGCAAATCAAACAATTGCTCTGGAGAAGTCTAGTTGGATCCACCTTGGGTGACTTGGCTTCTTCGACTTTCGGCGTCGGGAACCTGAGAGTCTGTACATGCTCAAGACAAGAACCCATTGTGCCAGAATAAACTGGCACGTATAAGAAAACCAGGTTTGGTACAGAGATGAGGACATCCTCCTTGTCTTCTAGCCATTTATTTGTTTACTGCAATCGGAGAAACCCCCAGCAGGGCTTTGAACTCGTAAGATTTCAACCTCAGTGCAGCGGTTTTAGCATTAGAAGCGATGCTGGAATAAAATGAGCGGCTTGTAATGGATATGTGGCTTTGGTCTCGGAAGTTTAATTCGGTCATAGGAATCACAGGGAAACAAGCACCAATAGCCTTGCTTAGATCCTTCTTACTGGGTTTTTCTTGTCACCCTTTCAGTATCTGGGATCTCGATAACGTTATAGAAACCTGCATTGAGGCCTTCATCATTGGCAGAATCAATGCATGCCGCCAATGGGATATGCTCATCAAAGTCGGTGAAGGACACCGTATTTTCCTGTCTAGGTCTTCTGATTGCTGAGGTTACGTAGACGTCCTATGACAAGAGTTGATGCGGCCTCGCCCTATGCCAGGTTTAACCCGAGTAAGCTTCTGCTCGCATTGTGATCGAGCATAGACGTATAATTTTCAGTCTGTCTTTTAGAGTGGGCCTTCTAATGGCCAGTCAAATATCGGTGAGCCACTGCAACGTACCTACCCGATTGGGTAGAGTCCTCTCCTTTTCTTCCTTTAGTTAGCCCTAGTAAAAGAAAAAATGAACAACTATCTGCTTTGAATGGATCCTCTTCTTCTGTGTTCGTTGTTTAGATCTAGATACGCAGGCGGCGTTTGAAGGCTTCGAGCGTCTCGTTCTCCATTGGTTGAACGAGGTAGGCAAGGTTGTTGTCAAGGCCTTCCCATAGTTCACTTTTCAGGGTCTCTTCGTCCGCCGTGCCGGCAGCTCGCAAGAGAGACGTCTTCTGGACGAGATAATCAGCGAGTGAGAGGTCATCTGCTTTCTTAAATCTAAATTTTAACTGACGTGCCTCTTGTCGTGCTTCAATAGCCGGACGTTTAAATTCTCCTCCTGAAAGAGACAGTGTCAAGCGTCTATAAGAGCTACCTAGCCCCATTCTGAAAGGACTTGAGACCCTAGACTTCATTCCACCGTATATTTCGGTTTTGCGAGAGTGTAAAACTTCTGCCGAGAGATTCTCCCATATTAAGAGCGGAGCTTCCACGCAGGCAGCATGCCTTAGCTCCCACTGTTCATTTCAGATACGCTTATTTAGCCTGTATTATTTATCCGAGAAAGCACACCCCCATGGAGCTGGAGGAGGTTGAGTCGATGTAACGAGACTTCTAAGCATGATTAACGGCGATACATATTGCGCTTCCGATGCTTTTATATACCGAGGAATACCACGTGGTGGTTTTCGTCGATACCACAGAGAGTTTCTCATAGCAGGTTCATGTTTGTATGATGAGTTAGGGTTGAATTGTGCTATAGCTCTGAAGGGTGGGCTTTTGGCTGGCTATAGTGTTAGTTCTATAGTATATTGTGGGGGTATTGGCTAATCAGATGTCTTCGGTATCTAATTAAATCTATGAGAAAGTACCAGATGTGTCTTTGAAGTATCTTGATCTGAGGTAATTTGACCTCTTCGTGTCATGGAGAGGTATTCTGGTTGAGTAGAAGGGGGTGGTTGGATAGGATTGGAAGAAAATGGAGAAAGTTGAAAGGGCTTTTTATATCGAGGACCCGTCTATCACTTGTATGATTGTGAATTAGGATGTTTGCTCTATCACTCTTTCTATTCCCCGATCTCTGGCAAAATATACATCAGTGAAGAATATACTGCAAATGCAAGGAGGCATTAAATGCCGTATTTAGCAATGCACTAACTGCGAAGAGCTAGTCGCGGCTCCTTGCAGATCGCGATAACCTTAGATAAGAGTGGGTTTAGTGGTTTACACATACAGTAATAGAAGATGAACCAATATATTTGTTGCTTATAATCAATACTCCATTAGCCACCTAGGTATAGATCCCGTCCGCCGTTTGTAGTAACGCCAGTAACATCCCAAACGCCCTGACCAGTCCGGAGACAAACCAAACTCCTAAATATATTCATCATCATCCATAGATCCATCGTCATCCCACGAGGATACTCGGCCAGACATATCCTCAACTTCCACCTTTAACTCAGGAACTGGTTGTGGAACAATCGGCTGTCCCTTTCCAGGCCACAACTTCGGCGGGGAGAAGATGCCTCGAGACGTAGCTTCGGCCGTTGGGATATTGATCGTACGACCATGTATGCGGATCTCGCCGGTCAAATTGACCGGAATAGGCTCTTCTTCCACGTACCCGTCCCAGAAGCCCAGCATCTGTGCAATAAGCCTAGACAAGGCAATAGCAAGAGTCCAAAGAGGGGTGAATATCGAAGACAAGTGAAGCCAGCGCCAGAGCATTGTCGGTATCACGTACGGGAAACGGGGAGCATCCGGGAGGAGGCAGTTTCCCTGGCAGGTTTCTGAGATCGAAGGGTGGCAGTAAAAATCGCACATGGTCGATTCAGAGTAGAACCACAAGAGCAGGATCAGAGAGCACCATCCTAGACGCGTAAGATGTATGCGTCCGGAAACAGGGCTTCGTCTCCATAGCCGTGGAAGGGTTACCAACGCGTAAACACGACCATCACTCTCCCCGTTACAATTTTCGCAGATGTTATGCTTGCTTCGTTTGCCCTTCGGGGGAGATGGGATTGCGGCAAGCGTGTCCGCATCTCGCGATACTTGGACCTCCAAACCGTCCAACCCTGTTTTGACCTTTTGAATGTTATCCGCTAGCGACTTCAACTTCTCATTTAGCCGGTCCAGGTCCACCGTTTCTTTATCCCCGGAGCTTGCAAGTTCCAGCTTCTTCAATATTTCTTTCTCGTATGCAGCATCGTCCTCGTCCTCGGTCTTTAGCTCACCAGGCTGCCCGTCGATGATGTCCTGAAGTGATTCAATCGTATCGTCACCGACATCTAGTGATTCTTTGTGGTCCTTGTAATCCTTCAACACTGTCTCGAGAGCACTCTTTGGCAGATCCGGTTTGACCAGCGGTACTCTGTCCTTGGACTTCGCCTTTCCACTCGACTTCGCCGACTGATCGTGCTCAGCTTTCTTCTCAGGTTTCTCCTGAGCCGGTTTTTCCATATTTTCCCGCTCCTTCTCCTTTTCTCTCTCCTTTTCCAACCGTTCCTTTTCTTCCCTCTGCTGCTCCTCCTTTTGTCTCTCCTCTTTCAGTCTCTGTTCCCTATCTTGTTGCTCCTTCCGTTTCTTCTCTTCCTGCTCCTCTCTCTCTCTTTCCTCCCTTAAGCGTCTTTCTTCGAATTCGTGTGATTGTGAAGCTTGTCGAGAATGCGAGGGCACCAACGACGACTCGAACCTTTCATTCCCCGGAGGTGATGGTGCTATATCCCGAGAGAGATGCTCCGGGAGCTCGTTGACCCGTTCCACCCGTTCAGTTACCGGAGTATCGATCCATGCCCCCGTCACCACAGGCGTCTTGTCGTAGATACGTCGCTCGGGATATTTCTGAGCCTCCGGGGTTTTGAGTTCGTTCCGTTGGCCTGGAGATTCTGTTCTCGATAGTTTCCGAAGTAAATCCTGCGAGTCTCTCTTCGTTGGGCTTCGCTTCGTGAATGTTGAATTCTTGTAGACCACAATAGGCGTATTCGGTATTGGATCACCATCAGTCAACTTGTCCGCTTTTTGTTCGGAGAGCTTGTTCTGCGCATCGGATAATGGGATCCTGTTGTATCTGTTTGACAGACGTCCGGCTGGCGTGGTGCTCTCAACATTGGTCGGTTCCGTATGGTTGATGTGCGAGTCTCTGTCAAACTTGAGCCTTGGGGGTGATGTCTCCTTCGCCCTCACCGCAGGGTTTTCTGGAAGCTCTGTGCGCCGTGTCATTTTCCTCAACCAGTCACGGCGATGAGCTGCCCGGCTTCCCCAGTTCGATGGGAGGTTTAGAGAGGGTCTCAATCCATCGTTTTCTTCCTCTTCCAAATATTGCTGTTCTTCCTCTTCCTCGCGCCGTTGCAGGTTCTCCGATGTGAGAGGGTTTGGCGTCCCTGCGTTGCTCAGCACAGGAGACCGGCTGGATGTGGCCCGTCTCAACCGCTTTTCGTCTTCGACATGGTCGACTAATTTTCGGCGGAGGCCGTCGTCCGAAATCTCATTCAAAAAATCCGCATCAGCTGCCGCAAACAGATCGTCTCCCCTCAGTCGCGATGCTGATGATGAGCGTCTGCTGCGACTGTCACGCAACGAAATGTTGAAGTCTTCATCGTCGGGGTCGAGGTCAGCCAGGCTCCCCGCATCATCGATTTGCCGATATGCCTCCGCTAACTCATTCGGTGGGTTTGAATCGGGGGACGTAATGTTGAAACTCTGTCTTCTGTTCCGATTTGGGGTGCCGTGGTTGTATGCGGCGGCTTCGTGATCCGACATATTGTGTAGACGCGAAGTGTAATTGAAAGCGGCACGGATTGATCCAGTTTGGCTGAAGTTCCGCCGATGCTGTCGGCTATTGTAGTCTTGGTAGGTATTAGGTACAAATGACGCGTCAAAATTATCCGTGAGACGAGTATGGCGAGCTCGTCCAAAGGGGGAGAGTTGCTGGTCCTGGGGGTATTCGCGGTTGCGACGCGCCAACGCCCCTCGGTCGCTCCTGCGCTCGGGGGTAGCAGGCATGATGAGAGACAGGCTCGGCCAATCCGCTCCTTACGACTAACACAAAGAAGCCAGGGGCAGATGGTGGGCAAGGAATGCAGTGAATGAGGAGCTCGCAAGATCAACGCTCCCCCAGCAACAGAGCAACAAGCGCAACGACGAGCTCCGCCCGCGGTACCGCTGCGTTGCCTGATCGGGTTAGCCGGATACTGGCGTCATTCCAGTAATTCTTCCACTTTGGCTTCAACTTCTCCCTATTTAGCTTATAAACTAGCTTTATATACCCGTCCATTCAAGTAGCAGTGTCTTAGCATCTGACTTCTAGATTATTTCTTATGCTAATAATCATTCTACAAGATCCCGGGAAATACCAGGCGTTGTCGGCGCTTTAGAAATGGGTGCCAGATGGTGAATTTTATATGAATCTGTTTTATAATCCACGTAGTGTCCTAGGAATAAAGAGGCTAAAAATATGCACATCTAATCCTGGGCTTAACAATATTTCGCTTGATAATACTCAAAATAGCCGAATGCAAACGGCACGACACAATGAACGAAAAGAGTAACTTCATACGAGTATAAGGAGCGAATGAGACATAAGGCAAATTATTCCATATCTCCGGGTATCATTCAGGCAGCCCCTGCCTGATCCATCTCTTCAGACTAATACGTGTCAACCAATTCAACCATTTGAGTCCTTTGAATCATGTATCGTGATAGTTGCATAATATTCCTATTACAGGGCATGCCGGATACCCTATGCTCAACGACCACTCCCACCACTCTCCAAAAGATAATCAACGGACCAGAGTCTCTCCCAGGGCCGGTATCTGGGAGTCGAGCGGCGGGCCGAGTGCATAGATGAAGCGTCGAGGTTATCAACACGCGGGGATGAAGGTGACACTCTACCCTCGGAGATTGCACGTTGGTGGCCCTTATAAATTCGTTCCGTGCCCTATTGACGGTCCGTCAGCTCCGTTCAGGAGAGAAAGGAAATCCGGGCCGCGGTTTTCACGGGCCCTGAGGAGGGTTGCGGCGAACCTCATCGGGTTTCGGGGCTGCCTCCCGTGAATGTAAGCTGGCAGCAGTGTCTTGTTCAGCTAGTCTTGCTAGGTCTGTTGTTGATTCGTTGCCGCGTTGTGAAGGAGTTGAGGAATGCCCTTTCTTAGAATTGGAACTATTCCGTCGGCTGTCTAGGCTCTTGGTCAACGTTTTGGCAATGTTCCCACCAACTGATGTGCGTTTCATGCGAATGCTGCCTTTGGCGTCTACGTGTGCTGGTGCAACGGTGCTCTTTCCTAGGCCCGGAGTCGCCGGGGCGCCTGGTTTTTCTTCCGTAGCGTCTAAAAGATACCAGCGGAGACCATCAGACAGCTCGAACGGGTTTTCATCATCAAGTGAGGTGCCATCGCTGACTTCGCCAATGGAACGGCGGTCCGGATTGGCACCGTTCATCGACTTCGAGAGATCGACAACGCGTTCTTCGATCTTGGTGATTCGGGCAAGCAGCCAGTCCCGGGTTTGGAGTTTGTGTGCATCTTGCTCGCGTAGAAAATAGTGCGGCGCGCCAACGTTGAATGCAGCCCATGACCGGATGGCTTGGTTGCGGGTGGGCAAGAATAGTGCAAGATCCCCTTCCTTGAAGGACCGATAGGCGATCTTATCATGGGCTTCGCTTTGAACCCGATGGTACTTGTCTCGGTATCCACGGGCTTCTTTCTGCCACTTACGAGCAAGAACTTCAATATCCTTCACACGCTTGACAACCGCGTCGCCGAAGATGTCCACATCGAATTGATATAAGGATTCCACAAAAGCCATGAACTTGTCTGTTTCTTCTTCCTTGCTATCGGCATGCATCCAATCGAGGAGGCTTGCATCCGGTCGCACAGACACCACTCCCGACTGGCTAAGACTGTCACCGGTGCTAGAGAGTGCATTGACCTTGGATGACCTCTGGACAACTATGTCACCCTCTTGACGAACGATAGTAAATCCTAGTTGTTCCAGCATGTGCTCCAGCTTCTCCACTTGTGCGAAAAGCTGCTTTGATAACTCCTGGAACCTGACTCCGCAAGTTTCGAACCGTACAGTAGCTTGCTGCTCCGCCTCGGACATTGCTTCAACCTTCTTCTTCCAGGTAGTAACTTCTTCCTCAGATTGACGAGCCAATGTCTCAACCTCAGCTAGCCTCTGGGCCAGATTGGTTAACTTCCGTTCTTCTTCGGTAACACGCTCCCGCAGAGCATCGGATCCGGTCTCGCCCGCAGCAAACTGGGACTGTAAAGCGATGAGTTTTGATCGCTCATCCTCCAACTCTGAGGTCACAATGCTCAGCTTTGATTTTCCTTCAGCCACTTCGTTGTGGGCTCGGGAAAGTTCTGTCTCTCGTGAGGCCACAGTCTTTCTCAAATCCTCCATTTCAGACTCTATCTGACTCAGACGTTCTTCGAGCACCTTGCTTTCCGCTGAAGCTTTTGCGGCACTTTCCTCCGCATTCTTGGCATGAATTGTCAGCCCCTCGGAGAGAACCTCAATTGCTTTGATGATATTCGGAAATTCGGTGGGAACAGAGCCACCGGGAGACAGGTTAAGAAAAGCGACCTGCAAAGCGTGTTTGTTATCGTTTTCTTTCCTTTCATTCTCGGCCACCTGGTTTTCCAGCTCTTCAATACGGGCCCGGAGGGTTTCTCCTGCGCCCTTCTCCAATTGCAACTGTCCAATCGTTTCATTTGCTTTCCTCATTTCTTCTTCAGCTCGGGCATGGACATCTTGTAATTCCATTTCGAGATGATGTATGCGCTCATCAGCGTCCTGTTTCTCGTGTTCGCGACTGTCGAGATTTCTGTCCACCTCTTCTTCTAGCTCCTCAGTCCGGATCCGAAGCCTCTTTAATTCACCCTCCAGAAATCTGCGCTCGTCATCGAACTCACGTTGCCGCGCTTCGAGATTGCCAATGAGATCTTTCTTCGTTGACTGGGCTTCTTGTATCTTGTCAGTATTAGATTGCCGCTCGGCATGTGCCTCCTTTTGAAGTCGTTGCACCGTGTCTCGCTCAGCCGCTAACTCGGCCTCCAGGCGGGTGATGCGCTGTACGAGTGCTTTTTCCTCTGGAGCTTGATTTGCAGACATCCGCCTAGAAGAGACCGAAGATCTCCTCGAAAGTGAGTCAGGGTGAGGCGACGCCGGTGAGCTGGGAAAATCAAGTGAAAAATTGCCGCTGGAGGGTCGACTCATGTGACTTTGACGATGAAGGAGATCCTCTAACTTTCGAATACGGCTCTCAGAGCCTTTCAACCTATCTTCAAGCTTGACTTTCTCATCTTTTAGACTTCTGACCATATCGTCACTGCGCAGTAAAAGCGAACTTCGGCTCAAGTCAAAGAGACTTCCCTGTTTGAAAGCTTTTGCTCTGCGACGCTGCATCCGTGTCGGAGCATCAAGCTCTTTGAAGCGCTGCATCAGTTCCTGAGCGTGATTTTCCATGTCAGGTTTATTTTTCAGGTCTTCGATATACGACTCAACCTCTTTCCTACTAACGGTAGGCCATTCCTGCTCCTGACCCCGTAGATTCACTTCGATGCCCGGGGTCGTGGCATCGGAAATAGAAATAAAATCTGCCATATTTTTGAGCCATTTTTTCCTTCGACGCTGCTCCTCTTCCCGGAATACAGACATTTCTTCCGCTAAAGTCAGTGAGTCGTTCTTCATTTTATCGTTGAACTCGCGACGTCGCACAGCCTCGATCAGAACCGACCCATAGATCATAGGCATATGGAAGACCGTGTAAATGACGTCAAATGCTTCGCTTTGCAGGGGAAGACTGTTGATCTGAGGTAGAGTTTCGGCGAGCCGATACTCGATAGAAGATATAAGTCGCATATGACTCGACGAAGCTTTCACTGCCGCATTATATCGTCTCACAGCTTCTTCCTGGCCAGCCTGTATTTCGTTGCTAACATCCAGTAACGACGGTAGAAGGTCCTTTGTATGGCTGAGAGCGAGCCTAGAAACGTTCGCCAATGTCTTCGAATTATTAGGCAAGGCCAGAACATGCTCGTAGTCGGATTGTATCTTATTCGAGATTGTTTCCATTTCTTGTATAAGTCCATCCACGGGCTCAGCACTTGTAGGGAAAGCTTCATCGATCAGGCGTTGGGTATCTGTAGCAATCTCACTAACATTTTTCTCGATAGTGCTAACTTGGTGAGCAAAGCGCGCAAGTATCTCTGGGGCTTCCGAGCCAGCCCTCTGTACCTCCGCTGTATCCACGTAGTCTTGAAGTGTACCCATCGCTTGACCTCTGCCTTTCGTCGGTGTTGACGGACGGCCCAGAAAGGGGAAGTCTTTGCGAGCTGGAATGCTATCTAGAGTTGACAGTGCCCTCTTCCATCCATTGAGTGCTGCTTGCTGTTGACTTAAAAGCTCATTGGCGAAGGACTGGGCCTCTTGAAATTTGTGTTCTAGAGTACCGACGTGGGTTTTGAGGTTCTCGAGCGCTACACTTGCAGCTCGGTTGATGATATCAGTGCGCTCGTTGTGTTCATGTATCTGCTTTTCCGCTGACTCGCACCGCTCCGTGAGGTTCGCTGCCCATGTCCTCCTTGCTAGATAGAGATTCCTCCATGCTTGTAGGTCGTTCTGGTTTGTGAGGGTATCGGGCGGGTTATCGACGTGCAGTGGATGTGGCGGGGGTAGCTCCGAGGTCTGAACGCTATTGGGATCGCTGACGTATTTCCTGTCATAGACAAAGATTTCGCTCTGTATATTGATGGATTTAGCAAAAACTTCTTGCTCGAGTGTCCGACGTGACCATACCTCCGTGGCAAGCGTCTTGACGTTTTTCCCACGAGCAGTCATTAAGATCTGCCGTTGAGGCGGGATCGAAGTCTTCGGGGCCACCCATGATCGTACAGCATCCGGACTGAGAGAAAGTCGATGATATTAGCTAGCGTCCACCGGGGGTAAGAGAGGGAGATGATAGGAACGGTCGGGCCGGGCTCAAGGGGCGGTGATGGGAAAGCAGGGCGAAGGGGGCATACGAGGCAAAGGACGCTGTATCGGTAACAAAATGCTCACCGGTGTGAGCTATGTAGATGTGCAGAGACATCCCCTCCTCACAAGACGAGCACTGAAGCTCCAAAGTTGACTGGAGAGGAATGCGGGAGGGGAGATGATAAGGTAGTCATATAGTGCAAGTAAGTAAGTAGTGAGGCTGCACAGGCATCCAGGCCCAAAGAGCTCCCCCGGTCTAGGCTGCGTTTGGTCGGTTTGGTGTCTGATATCGCGCCGGAACCGCCCACCGCATCCCGGGATCCCCACCGCCCTACCGCTAAAGGTCGGGAACCAGCAATCCATGATCCATTCATGCTGGGCTTTTCCAATCACACGATCATTTCCCCGACTTGCCACGAGGTCGCGTTCTATGACATCTGAAAAGGTCCGTCCCCTGCCTCACCTGAACCCAGGTGAGGTGTCGTTGTTGGACCTCGCGACCGACGACCCTCGCGATACCGTAACCTTGTCCGACAAAGAGGCCTTGATCCTGCAGCTTTATCGGCAGATCCAGGAACAGCAATTGGAGAAAGCGCTACTAGAACAAGGTCGGTGTCCATGTTGCTGGAGCAACAAATTATTATCTCTATTCGATCTAGAATTAATTCTTATGCCTGATACAGACACGGATCTTCTATCTGGGGACAATGCTGAACAGCAACTAGCCGTCGCCGAGCGTGAGCTTCTGGAAGCTAGGGCGACTTATACAGTCAGGAGGAAAGCCGTTGGCACGGTTCTTATGACTGATCCCATCCTCAAGGCTGTTCATCTGAAAGCGTCGACGCCAGCTGAACAGTAAGTTTACTAATCGTCTTCTGCATACATTTTTCTTGCTCCATTGCACCTTTTGCATTTACGTGCTGCTTTTCCTATTTTTGGAGCGCTTCAAATTATCTTCTCCTTACTTACCAGAAACAGGGCTCTCCTACGGCTCATTAATCGTCGTGATATGCTATCTCTAGCGCATGAAAACCTGAATACTGCACACAGTGCAACTCTTCGAAGGCTTGCCAGCCTGGAGGTGGAAAATGCACAGATCCACCGGCAAAACCAAGAGCTAGTCCGTGAGCTGTTAGCTCTTACGGAAGATGATGAATCATGGAGAGAGAATTTGGAAGACGCGGAGCTCAAGGCCCAGCTAGATCAGCTAGATGCGGATCGCAGGAAAAGCAAAGCTAAATGGGAGATCATGAAAAACATCGCAAGCGGGATGGTTGTCGGCAGTGGAGTGAACTGGGCTGAAGACGAGAGGCTCACGGCTCTGGTACTTGACGAATCTGATGATTGATGTAGCGAGTTGGTATATTGCAGTTACTTGGATAGGCGTTATTATGAGATATACCCTTGAATCGAATTATAATCGATATGAAAATGTTATTATGCTGTCTCCCTCACTCTTTGAGGGTGAATTAAGTTTGTGATTGATCAAATCCTCTCCTTCCCCCAATGTCGCGGAGACATGCAGGAAAGCTTAGTAATCGGCACAACACCAAGGTAAGCTGAAAATCTGAAAATCACGACTGCAATCACTTCCTCAGCCGGGATGAAGGAAAGGTAGTGCGACCCACGTGACATCATGGCCCACCCGGGCAAAGGCAAACAGTGTTCGTCATACCGTGTCCACAGAGCTTACTCTAGGATTTGGGAAACAGACGGAAAAAATCAACAAGCCAGTCCGAAATAAGCTGCAACCCTTGCAGTAGACAAAGGGGGGATGACAGCCGGAAATCAACAACGGCGCTTACGCATGTATGCCATCTGTGTTTACCCTCGAACGCCGACCAGGCAAAGAGAGTGCATGTGAGCATATGAGCGCTCCGTGAGGGGAGGGTAAGCCAGACCAAAGAGGAGCCGGTGTTTCCACCGAGAACCAAATAACAGCGTCAACGACCCCCTCACCATTATTAAGAATACAGTGCAACTTACAATACAGAGAGTAATCGGCAGGTATCAGTAGAAGGATGGTTGCGTCCGATCATTACAGGATCCAGTATTTTGCCGGTAACTTTTCGCTGGTGCTCTTAGTGACGGGAATGCGGTGGCATTTACGAAGTCGCATCAGCAGCACCTCCCTTTGGGCGAACAATCTATGCAGACCTTTGCAATAAATCATTACGATCGTCTATTTTAATGTCTGGGACTAGCAATAGTCAGCAAGCAAACATGTCGCAACACTTTTGGTATATCGTTTCTATCCTTCACGGTGGAGAACATTTGCCAAATATTGAGTTACAGCCTACTTTGTACTTAATGATACCAGACACAACTTGACCTACGGCAGATACCTGCGGGAGTAGGGCCCAAAATCATGGGTGATTTGAGGTCAAGGTATTCCCTGCGCAGATAGCCTGGGATGAGCCACTGAAGAAGTCCGTGAACTCGGGAATTGGCGTACTTTCTGACCCTGGCATGGAATTAGTGGGTGATCTTGAAGCAGGTCTGCTTTGTGACTGGTACATTTGCTAGGAGCGGTAACCAAACAATTACTGCTTACTCCGAAATAATGAGAGGTAAATAGTTAGCTCCTAGCCCGCCATGCGGATAGGCAGGCTGCACATGTCCCTGGAATGACCGAACTAATGGTGTTGATTAATCTATCTGGTAACACTTCTGCCCTCATCACTACATCACTCTCACGGTTCCCCGATTTTATTGGGGGAGTGTCGATATGCTAGGAGATGAGCGTTCCTTAGTGTCACTCGGCAATGGCATGGTTAGCCTCAGCAACTCGCTCGAGCCCATGTTCGGGCCTATAAAAGTTCTATTGTGCAAGGGAAGCTGTAAGGTATCCACATCGTACCACTACTGATTATGTCTATGGGAGTCTAGTAGACACATCTCACAGTCACTGACCAGGGATGAGCCTTTCCATGTAGTGACGAGTCCTTCCCCTTTCAACACACGTAACTACACGGGAAGCGGGACCTCGGACAGGAACTGATACAGGATACTCACCTCATACGCCCTAAAGTATGTCAGAAACAATCTTACTAAAGTCTACTAGGACGCAGCACTGCCTAAGATAAACCGCCTGTATGGGAGGGCGGAGAATTCCCTGCGCGGGTTTATCTTCAAATATCGCGCAAGTACTCCGAGGTACACGGTACCGAACGCTGAGTAGTCGGCATCAAACAAAGTTGAGGTGTCCATGCAACAAAAACAAAAGGACAAAACTTGAAATTAAAAAAAATAAAAGAATAGATGTTATTTGTGATAATGGAACACATAAAATAGCTCTTGTATTTCAATAGTCTCTTGCTGATATAGATGGTTTATTTGGGGTAGCAACAATTGAACCCACGAGCCACGCACGGGATTAGGTAGACTCAAGGTGCTGCACAGAAGGAAGGGTACTACCTAGTACGGAGGACTCCGTAGATACTAGCACTGCTGGTTAGACTCAGTAAAAGAGTAACAACATACGGTACGACCGGTAGTTTCCAGGTTACCAGCACCACACCCCCCTCATGATACCGCCATGTATTTTACCCAAGGCCAAATTATCCACCTAATAGTGGCGCAAATTGGGGTACTGAGGTGGTATGGTAAAGTTCAGTACGGCAACCAACAGTGGACCTCCATCAGCGCAATGTTCGGTAGAGAGCTCCATCTTGTCTAACAGGCGAAGTCTGGATTACACCATTGAGTGGCATTCGACTTGCTAAGGAAAGGCTCTGCAACCTTGCAGGCCATTCAGTGACCCAGCACGACAGAGTCGTCCAGAACGCGGCCAGCGAGCGTTGCCGGGAAAGAGGCAGATGACGGTACGTGACCGGTATGATACAATACTAACCATGCTCCAGCGGGCGGCCAGCCAGTCGCAGCCAGCAGACCTACTCGCTTTCCCTTGCTGTGCTGCCCACTTCCCCCCTTCCCAAGTGTGAGCGAGGTCAGGTAGGTAATGGCCCGCCTTCCCGTCTTCCCTCGCTCTTCTTCCTACTACTACTGCTCCCCCCCTCTCCCTCTCTCATTCACTCTCTACCTACTCTCACTACGCTTCCTCCCATACAATTCTCTCTCCCATACAAAAAAGTACTGCATATACCGCACTGGTGGGTTCCCTAATAAACATTCCGCTCTTCAGCATTGTCTCTACAACACCAACGCAATCTTTTTTTTCTCCTTCAACAGAGTTGTTTTCCTTTTCAGAAGCTTCTTCTGATCATCTGTTTCCCTTGATTTTCTCATCCTGTTTGCGCGACCTCGCTGTCGCGCCTCTGCTACAGCCATCATATAGTTCTAGTAGCAGTGAACTGACATAAAGCTGTCTTATCCTCCACAGGTCAAATTTGCGACCTTCAAATCCACAACTCCCGTTTTTTTCAGACTCAATTATTGAGTAAGTTGCTCTCCTGCGCGCCTTTTCCCTGTTGGTGTCATTTGACTTGCGACCGCGATCCCTCTTGTTTGGGCGCGCGCAAACCACTGCTTATCCGCTCCACCAACCACCACTTGCACTGCGCACTCTGTCGCATCACTTCCTGTGCTCCTTAATCATCATATTGTTGTCGCTGTCCTCTTTCCTGCTGCTTTTGGTGTCGACTGGGTCACTTCCTGCTTCACTTCTGGATCATTCTGCTTGCATCACTCGAAGCCAACTTCCACGTTCTAACGATTGCATAGAGCTCAATAATCAAAATGCCTAAGGAGAAGACCACCCGCAAGACCACCAAGGGCCGTGGCACTGAGGGGCGCAGAAAGAAGGGTATGTATGCCTCCCTCTATCTCTGAAACATATGTTAATGCATGGCTCAGACCCCAACGCCCCCAAGCGTGGTCTCTCTGCCTACATGTTCTTCGCCAACGACAACCGTGAGAAGGTTCGCGAGGAGAACCCCGGCATCTCTTTCGGTAAGTTGCAATCCCTGGACTTTGAATCTGGACTTTGAATGGAAAGCGTGGTGTCTAACCTCATGCAGGCCAGGTTGGCAAGATGCTCGGAGAGCGGTGGAAGGCTCTGAGCGACACCGATCGTCGCCCTTACGAGGAGAAGGCTGCCGCTGATAAGAAGCGTTACGAAGACGAGAAGGCCAGCTACAATGTAAGTCAACACCCCTGCCTATTCTGTGTCAGCCCATGCTAATAGACTTCAAACAGGCGGCTGCTGAGGAGGACGAGGAATCATCCTAAGGGTTTCCCTCTCTTCATGGGTCTTGTGTGTCTGGCCGATTGGCGTTTTTCGTGTCGTTTATTCCGCTGATTGTCTGCCTTGTAATTGATGCTTCTTATATTTTCTCTTTATCTACTCAATGGCTTCTGGTATGGGATGATGGCGGTAACTCTTGATTTTCTGTTATGAAGGATTCTCGATGGGAAATTTTTACTGTACGGACTGGCGGCTTTGGGACGAATTTGACTTGAAGAGGTGCCCGGCGCTGAATTTCACAACGACGGGAAAACCTTGCGAGTACCTATGGTGAAATATGAATTGAAGCTGCAGAAGTGATGTTAGGCGACCAATATCTGCTGTATACTAGCCTAATCAACCACATCCTTGTCCTCGGCCTTTCATGGGTCTTGCTTTATGCCATCCTAGTTTCTAGTATGATATCATGACGAATCTATGCCCCAGTTGTACTCCGTAGTGTTCATAGCGTTGCAGGACACATTGTTTTCATCTTCTGGAGACGGCGGGAAGACTCTGTTTGCAAAAGTTGGCCCAAGCTCCTGGGGTGACGCGGGGCGACAGCTTGTTTACGTGTTGGACGCGTCGGGCTTCCGATATCTCCGGTTGCAGCCTTGGTGCCTTAGGTCTCATCAGATACCGGACGATCCACACTCTGAAGATGTGGCCACTCAGTACAAAGTAGTAGCTGGCTCATACCTGAGTCAAAAAGGTAGCAGGGATGGCCGTGCCATCCACTTGGCATCTTGAGGATGGATGGACATAGAAGGGAACCAGTGCACCTTGACATCCAACTTATGTATGCCTACCCAAGGCAATTATCAAACAGTTTCCGTGCATTAAAGCGTTCGTACAACTCATAGGTGGCAAAGGTACACGGTGCGTGTGTCCGGATGGCATCCGGGGATGTATCGTCGCGTCTGCATCTACTGTGCAGTATCTCCCTTAAGCAAATCAGGTCCTAGTTCTAATGCTAGTATCTGGTGGTTGTTGGCCATGGCTATTGTGCGTGTAGCAATTTCCACGAGAATATGTGTTTGAAGCAAGTGGATTGTTCAATCAATGCCTATTAAAAGTGTTACCTTGTGGAAACCAGCATCTAACATGGAAAACTGCCAATAACCTGTGGGTGAGTACAGCACCGCTGGCTCCTTTGATAACTTTTCACTGTGTGTGTGTGTGTGTGTGTGTGTGTGTGTGCGCAACGACCTTAACAGCATATCTTGGCAGCATGGTTACTATTCAGTTGGGCTGCCGTGCATTCCCACGTATAGAAAGGGTATCTCCATCTGCCAAAGTACTTATATACCTTTCCCCTTGTCTCCGGTTCGAATTGAGCTTGTCCTCGATCAAAGCAGCTTAGAAAAGGTCATCATTATCAGCGAGACGATTGGTGCGATAAGATAAGATAACGACGGGTTTTTGAATCGCTGGGCTCCGATATCTACCTGGTTTGGTACTACCCCTTGGTCTACGCAATTCCAAGTGGATACGGGGAAAGCTCGCGGTCACCTATAACTTGTGGTGACTATGGCTTGAGCTAAAGTACTAGCTTGGTATGTGGGGGCAGCAGCAACTCGGAAGTGAAAGGTGTTAGCAAGCTTGAATGGTCTTGGGATTTGCTGAGATTGCCCAGTCTTTAGGTGGTCTCTAAGTCCTGCCGGGCACAACGTGGCTGCACTAGCTGATACTAACGTTGAAGTTGATCGTAGACAACACACCTTGGGCTACCTTGGGTTTCATTTGGTAGTATTTGGTCATGACTTGCCCCGATACTATCTACTCGCTAGGCCTAGTCCCCTTATTGATTCAAGTTCAGATACTTCGTACCTCGTGGGGACTAGCCAGGAGGAGGTTACTGGTAGTTTATATATATACATCGGTCATGATTTGCTCCACATAACAGAATGTGTGTTGTATGACAGCCCGACCATCAGTGATGCGCTAGAAACCAGAGAATAGCGTCGTGCTGGCCTGGCCAGAGCCCAGTTCCCTCCACCAAGCTCCCGTGAGCAGGAGTGTACTCCTGTTGGGGTCAGGTTGAAGGGTGTAACGATTCACGGCTTTGAAGTCTAGGGTAGCACAATATCAGTACCTGCAAATCGCGGAATAACGCCTTGCGTATCAAAGCCCATATTAGATGAGAAAGCTTATCTGATATTAAGAGATGAGCGCCCGCTACCAAGCCCGCCAAGTTGGAGGAGATGAATAGGACCTTGTCTTATACAAGCGTTGTCGGTCTTGCTGTATAGCGAGTCTCGTGACCGAGCCAGTCTGTACTGGGCGAATAAAGTTTTGGGGAAGTTCCAGCTGGAATGCGACCCCTGCAAGTAAGCCCGGAGCCATCGGGGGCGGACTGCCTCTCGTATGATTTACATCCAATGTGGCATTGGATATTATGCCCTCCTTTGTATGCCATAGGTGATTTTCTCCTTCCTCTCCCTTTTCTTTTTTTTTTCTTTTCCTTTCCTATCAACGGCTCGAGGATCTAATGACCGACTTGCTGAGAGTGTCACAGCAGTAAATCAACATGGGGACAAGCCGCGGGGTTGCACCTCATCTGCCATCCTGACCGTCCTGGCCATCACCGCTCAATCCCACCATGCATTTCCACCGCTCATTATTGGCCTCTTGCCTCCTCTGCCGCATGAACACGTCAACGGTCCCGAGGCAGTTAGACGATAGTGAGAGGCATCTCTGGCTCCATTGCCAGAACTGTCCGGCTGTCAGAGAGCCGCATTTGCTGCTACCCTTTCGGGCGATTGACGACGAGATCCCTGCCCCACTTGCGGAATGATTCTTGTTCTGCATTCATTCTTTTGTGCGAAGGATCTCGACCGTCTTCTCTATTTTTCTTCTCCTTGTGTGTGTTCCAAGGGTAAATGGGACCTTCTCGCCCTCTCACTCCTTAGAGCTGGTCCAGTTGCAGAGTCTCCTTCGGTCTGCGTCCGTTCCCCTGGTGAGACTTCAGTCTAAACATCCTCCCGAGGGCTGATCCCGCCGATAAGACGGTCCCTTCCTGACCCCATCGTTGTAGTTTACTGAGTTGTCTCTCCCTGCCCCTCCCCGGCTCCCGTCTGGCCCTATCCCGTGGTCCCTTGATTTTATGCATTTTAATTTTCGGTCTCCCATATAATTGAAGACCCGCCACGGCCCTCTGCTGCTTGTCTGCGCTTGTTATTCCTCGCTGCTACCTTTCCCCATACTTTTCACTTACTACACAACCGTTGTACTATAACTTCTCGTCACCATTTGTGGTGCTCAAGAACGGGCCTCTGTCTATATATGCATGGAACATCATAGGTGACCTTCACGATGTCCTTGCACGACTCCTACAAGACAGCGGAGGCTGTAGCTGAAGGATTCCGCTCTTTCAGCAACCTCCTGCCGGAGCATGACACGGAGATCACCAGCCTCGTCGTCGACCTCTTTTCGATCAGCCTCTTTCTCAAAGGCTTGGAGGGCATGGCGAGAAATCGAGCCTACCGCTACAGGCTATCCGCTATCCATCCTGATCTGGAATTGGTCCGTGCTAGCTTGAATTACACCCTTGAGGACGTACTGGACTTCTTTGATGATTTGGAGTCCCGGAGAGGCGACCCCAGTGAGGCATACAAGCAATTATGGTTGGAAATTTCAGCCCATTTCTTGGAGGAATCTCAGGAATCCTTGTCCACCCGGTTAGCCAAGTACAAATCGTTTCTGAGGGATTTGAGTGAGATCATGAAGGGGTGCGTGGCCCAGTCTCTCTTTCTGTTGCGGCCCGGATTGGCTAACACTGAGTATAATGTAGTGAAGTAACCGATACTCGTCTGATGGCTTCGCTTCGCAGCAACCTCAAAGGGCTACTGGTCCACCAGGATAGCCGACTTGCACCGCGTTTGGGTTCTATGTCATTGAGTTCGCCTTCCTCTAGCAGCAGTAGCAGCAGCAATGGCAGCAATGCTGATCCAGGAAGTCCGGTCAATGGGCGTAGGCCTCGCGGACGCAGGTCGTACGAGCGAGCACGGCCTTCTCATTCCTCACCTCAATCGCCTATATCCACATCATCAGCCACATTCTCTGACATTCCACCCTCTGTGCCCTCAGCGCCAGACTCTCCTACTACTAGCACCACTGCCACTAGCCAGTCAATAGACTCAACTCCTGTCAGTGACCACTGGGCTAGACGGGTATTTCTGGATGAGCACCCGATGACCCCAATTCCTTACGTGGGTGAAAGGTGAATTTAGCCAGTCTAAGCTGTCTAAAATCTATAGCTGACAATTCCTTAGCTCCAAATGCCTCGGGGAGGTGAAAGGTAATGTGAAAGGGTGGCTTCACGAGGAGGGATTTGAGGAGCTATTCCAACTGTGAGCTCACCCAATGCTAGACATCAAATTAAGCTGACTGTCTTTTAGTGCTTTTAGTGGTGACTCGGATCTCCGTGTTTGCTTCTATCTACGAGAAGATGACCATCGCGTACGGATTGTGTGCAAATCCCGGCGTACCTCTCGGACCAGTGATTACTCTTGCCTACCCCTGAACTTGCTAGAAATCGTTCGTATCGGTTCCTGCTTGCAGATTTGTCGACGGCGTCGCGGGGGCTCTGAACTAGTGCTGTGGGCCAATCTTAAGTTTAGTACCATTGAGCGTATGTCAGCACATCTTGTTATACAGAGAGCCGAAAAGCACAAGGCTAACATACCGCAGAGATGGTGATCTTTTTCTGCACGTTCTTGGCGCTACGATCGCAGGACTCTGGTCGGCCTGTTGAACGCATTCGTGATTATGAACTTGACGACGAGGAAGAGCATTTCGGAGGGTAAGGGACTGACTGTCATTACATACTGCTGATGGAGACTGACTGTTCTAGGCAAATTGTCGATGATGACTTCCTCCACGCCTTACGCGTGTACCGAGACAACGTGTCTGGAGCCGTGCGTCTGCAGGCATCGGTCCACAAGGGCGAGATGAAACGGTAAGAAGGACGGCATTCCCACGGACTACCACCACTAATTGGGCAGCTTACATAGGATGCCCGTTTGGACTGCCTTCATAACGGAACATATCGGCTCCAGAGGCTGGATTCGCCGTGTAGACACCAAAACCATCTTATTGCGTGACCTTCGTCGAGTCATTTTCACCTTTCCCAGTTATAACCCACCTCGCACACCTAAAGGAGAGCATATCTTGAAGTTCACGAATAAGTCAGGTATGGGCAGCTGCTGCATCTTGAAGAGAGTTACATGCTGATATGTATTAGATGCCCAAGGTTTCATGGACACAATCGCCGAACTCGCCCACTTATAACACTACGAAAACAATACCTACAACATTTAGCATGTTCAGTATCAGTTACGGCAAGAAACAGGAAACAGTCCTGGCTCGCCAGTACATATAGCAATTACGACCAATGAGTTACGATTTACGATGAAATGAGCCACACGAGACGGTTGTTATTTGATTGTTGTTTCTGATCGATCACCTTACGTTCTCACTGCACATAAAGCTGCTTTACCAGGCATGATACCCTCCGTCCCTTAGAGGCGAGATGCATGTACCAATGATTTTGAAACCAATGAATTCATTAACATAATATATCATCAATGGGGTATCATAAGTCATAACTAAGCAGCAAAAATGCAATATAAAGTATCCACCTTATCCACTGCCCCCTGCCAGTAGACCCGCGTCTCCCAAACCAGCGAGGAACATCTCCGCGCGTCGTTTAGCCCTTAATTCATCGACCTTCTTCCTCCGTTCATCCCTCAGCCGCTCACGCTCCGCGCGTCTTTCCCGCCTGGCGTCTCGCTCCCGTTGCGTTTCCTCCCGCGCATTCAGCAACTCCTCCATCTGCTTCCTCCGCACATTCTCATCCTTCGAGAAAGCATAGAACCCCGTACCCCGATTCCGCACCTCCGCCTCAGCATCATAATGCATCTCCTCCGGCGGCGTAGCCGACCGATCCCTCCGCGCAGCCAGATCCGACATGCGCGAAGCAACCACCGCATCTGGATTAAACGCCTCCGCCTGCACCGTCGCCCCATAGATCAGATTATCCGGACGCGCCGGACGCCACCGCTCTGTATTTCCTCCTCGCCCTTCCCCTTCCTCCGCTTTAAGCGCCGCCGCACGTGCCGCCTCGGCTCGAGTTCCGCGCCGTGACCGGCCCAGCTCATCTTCGTAGGAAACAATCGACGCATTATCATCATTATCCTCAGCATCATCTTCCTCCCCCTCATCTCCTTCACCGTCCTCTTTCCTCCATTTCTGATCAAAATCCACCAACCCTTCCCTCTCCTTGCGCCGCAACCTCGCCAGATACGCATCCCCCGGTCCAACATCATCCCCTTCGTCATCATCACTCTCTCCTCCGGCTAGATATAGTCCCCGCGACATATCCTCGTACATTCGCACCTTCTCCTCCATCCGCCGCTTGGACCGGTGCAGCGTGGCGGCGTCCACGGCCCCGATGTCCTGCGTGCGCTGGTGCGTCTGCTGCAGAGCGGCATTGTCATCGTCGCGGAGGTCAGCGGCGGCGCGTTTCTGTGCGCCTTTGTTGGGGCGACTGAAAAGATCGGATTTGGGGGCTTTGGAGGGTCGTGGGCGGCCGGTGCCGCGCGTTGATGAGGAGTCGGTGGTGCTGTCTTTGGCGATTAGGGAGGAGAGGGTGCTGGTGAAGGCGAGGGTGGAGGCGGAGGGGGCTTCGGACTGGGATGTTTTTTTGTTTCGTGGTTGTCCGTAGAGAGATGGATTTGACATGGTGGGTAGGTTTGTTGTGACAGTGCAGTATGTTGAAGGAAGCTGTAGGATGTACCTGATGTAGCTATATCCTGGAGTATTGAAAGATAAGTAACTAACTAAACTAGGAGCTGAGATGGGTCCGATAGGACGATGACTAAGCCGATTTAGGATGGGCCCCGCGCACCCCTCCGACTCATCTTTCCCCTCCTCTTGCTCATTCCTCTTCGCTCAATTGTCTCTTTGTGTGAAGTATAGCACTTTACTTGTTCAAAATCAATTGACAATGTCTGCTCCTGTCTTCCTCGGTGTCATTGGTAAGCTTCCCCGAATTTCCTCAAACAGTGCTGCAATAGCAACCAGCCTAGCACTGCAAGAATCACCACCACCACCATGACTACAACTGCCAAAGGTTCAATTATGCTAACAGATCACACCAGGTGTCGGCGGCGTCGGCACTGCCTTCCTGAACCAGCTCGCCCGTCTCCCCAACGCCCCCAAGCTCATCCTCCTCGCCCGCTCCACCCAAACCCTCCTCTCCCCGACCCCCGCCTACAGCCCCAGCATTCCCGCCGCGGAATGGAAGACCGCCAGCGCAACCCCCTCCCTGACCAAGTCCGGCGCCCTCTCCGCTGAGGAAATCGCCAACTTCCTCTCCTCGGCGCCCGGCCGCTCCATCCTCGTCGACAACACCAGCGACCCCGCCCTCGCCGCCTCCTACCCCGTCTTCCTCCGCAAGGGCATCTCCATCGTCACCCCCAACAAGAAGGGTTTCTCCTCCGACCTGTCCCTCTGGAAGGACATCTTCGCTTCCGCGGCCCAGGGCAACGCCCTCGTCTACCACGAGAGTACCGTCGGCGCTGGTCTGCCTGTTATCTCCACGCTGCGGGATCTGGTTGCCACCGGCGACGAGGTGACGCGCATCGAGGGTGTGTTTTCGGGTACGCTTTCGTTCTTGTTCAACACCTTTGCGCCGGTTGGTGGTGCTGGTGCGGGACGGAAGTGGAGTGAGGTTGTGGCTGAGGCCAAGGAGTTGGGATACACTGAGCCTGACCCGAGAGATGATCTCAATGGTATGGATGTTGCGAGGAAGTTGACTATCCTGGCGCGTATTGCTGGATTGGAGGTCCAGGCTCCGGATGCGTTCCCTGTTGAGTCGCTGATTCCGGAGGAGTTGAGGGGCTTGGATGGCTCCGCGGAGGGCGTTAAGACTTTCATGCAGAGGTTGGGTGAGTTTGATGGCCAGATGACGGAAATTAAGGAGAGTGCCGAGAAGGAGGGTAAGGTTGTGAGGTATGTGGGTAGTGTGGATGTTGAGAAGAAGGAGGTGCGTGTTGGATTGCAGCGTTTCGATAAGGATAGTGCGATTGCTGGCCTCAAGGGCAGTGATAACATCATTAGCTTCTACACTAAGCGGTATGGAAGCAACCCGCTTATTGTCCAGGGTGCCGGTGCCGGTGGTGATGTTACTGCTATGGGTGTGTCGGCCGATTTGATCAAGGTTGTGCAGAGACTGCAGTAGACCTTTCACATATCTAATGGTAGATGGGTTCTAGAAGGATACATTAGGATATATTTCCCCCCAAAATAAAACGTGACATGATACCAAATGTATACTACTACTTTATGCTCTCAAATACGCCTTAACCGCCTCTCCCCACACAGGACCCCTCTTATACCGATGAATCTCTGGCACATTCCCCTCCTTCAACCCATCAATCGCCATCGCCAATTCCTCACCCAGTCCTTCTTCCTTGATCTCCCGGATAGGGTACGTATACGTATGGAACGTGAACACCAGCGCCTTGGTCTTCGGTAACCGATGTAGAGTCTGACGCTCACACCGAAAAAGAGTCTATACATAGTCAGTATACTGTCCTGTCCCTTTTCCGTTTTTTCCAACACCACCAAAAGCAAAAGGAAAGGAAAAGGAAAGGAAAAGGAAATGAAATGAAGTAACATACCCCTTCCCCATCAACCTCCTCCACCCCCAACACCCTCTCCCTTTTCTCCCCTTCATGCCCATGCAATCCCCCAAACGCAGCAAACAGCCCCGTGCCCTTGGTATTAATACTCCAATTGACGCGCTGCACGACCTTCCCCACTTCCAATCTGGCAAAGAACCGATCCATACTCTTCTCCAACCGCTCTTTATACCGCGGCACGGGGTCATGGATCGTCGAGAGCCGCTTTCCAAGCTTCTCGCGCGTGTCGAAGCCGGCGGGGTAGAAGGTCGTGTATGCTTCTAGGGTATATTTCTTCTCTTCTTGTTCTTCTTTTTCTTTTTCTTCTGTTGGAGATAGGGATGATGATGATGATGATGATTCAGGAAGTAAGACAAGAAAGTCCTCGTCGACGAATGTACCCAGTGTAGAGAGCATGTCTCGGCCGGAGCCGCGGTGGGGGAGGGGAATGCGGGTGTTGGTTATTTTGTTAAGGAGAGTTTTATTAGTACACTCTTTGTTATTGGTGTTGGTATTGTCTTGAGATCGGGTATGGGTGGTTGTTTCAAGTGTGAACATGCTTGGGTAGCGAGTGGGAAGGTAGACGCCGACTATAAACTCGTATAGTTCGGTGATGGCGGCGTGGACGGGACTTTCTGGCTTTTGGCCTGCTGGGGTGACGCCTACTACGATGGTGGGGTATTGGGTGAGGAGGGATTGGCGGAGAGTGAGACGCTCTTTGTAGGTTTTGTCCATGGGGATGAGGTGGGAGATGTCGGTTGTTGTTAGGGCTGGGTGGTTATTGCTTTTGTTAGTTTGGGGGGAGTGTTCTGTTTGGGTGGGAAGGGGATGTAATACCCATGCTGAGGTGGTACTTTGGCTTGAAAGGTCGGTATTTGGTTGGTTCGGTGGTTTCCCAGTTGAAGGATGGGAGGGGTGTGACTGGGGGGTAGGTATCTTGTTCTTCTTTTGAGACTTCATCTTTGGGGATGGTATTGGGTGATCGCTGCGCACGTTGTTAGTCAAAAGTATGCCAGTTGTGAAGAGGAATAGACGTACTCGATTCCACAGTCCAAATAACCACAGTGCAAGGACAAGAAAAACTACCACAATGGGGTTATTTTGGATATAGAATATCCAATCTTCTATGATGTTCATGTTCATACTGATGAGGGTTGAAGACGGTGTGAACTGTCAAGCGAACGAGGGGGGTCTGTAGCTCTTGTACATCTCAGTTATCAGTATACTAGTACTAGTACTGCATGTAGTGCATGCAGCTGATCGTGATCCGCGATTGGTTGATATGTCCGTTCATCGCCGATTGCTCCAATTCCCGACTCGGCGGGAGTTGATAGCTGCTTGATAAGTAGAAGGGATGGATGGCAATGGCGGTTGGAGATAATCTGGTAGATGCGGGGAAGACTTCCCCGTTCCGGCGATGGCTCACGAGGTTGTATTTGATGGGTACTACGTCGGTGATGATCCACGTACATGTCATCTTTCTGGTTGATATGGTGAAGATAATGCATGTAGTATGTCTGATAAGACATTGTTTCGGCGTGAGATATCCCTCGGATAGTTTACTGTGTCAGAGGTTGGAACTTTACCTTGGTAATGCCGAGGTCAGCACTGAGACTTTGAATGATCTGTTTAAGATGTTATCGTTGTTACTTGGAAGGCAGGTACTTTCAATATTGTTAGTGTGTAATGTAGCTAGCTTTGGATGGCTTACATCAGGGGAATTGTATATAACGATGAGAAGTATACAAGGTAGATCAGACTGAGCAACGATACGAGAATACTAGAGACACTAGTTGAGAAATCTGGGATATTGGGCAGCAAAATTCCAGTAACGGTAACATTTGATATGTTCAGCAATAACTCTGGTCCGAAGTGAAAAGAAATAAGCAATATAGGAATATCACGGAGTATACAGCCCCTGGACAAGAACTTAATGTAAACCTCATCCATTGAACCAAGCAGGTAGGTAGGTATCTCAGCAACCGCTCAACAAGAAACCAACCACTAAACTAAAAAAAGACAGAAAAAGCAACAACCTAGTATAGGTACAGGGGTATTAATAATGCCACATGAACAGAACCTCAAACGCACGCCTCAAAATCATGCACCAAACCAGTCATCAAAGGGAGGAGATATGGAATGTGCCCTCACCAGGAGGTATCACCATCAATATCCATACCATTATACCTCACTCGCATCCCCAAATATATAACCACCACCGCAGGTATATATCAATCCCCACCATGACCTCCACCATTAACCTCCACCTGAGCAACCACCCTCCTCGTCATTCCTTCTACCCCCTTCTCCTCCCGTCCACTGCCACCAACACCGCCACCACCTGTATTCCCACTCAACCCCACCAGTACTCGAGGCTGTCCATCCGGCCGCTCATTCAAACTCGGCGCTCTTGGCCGCTGCTTCCCGCGAGCTCGACCTCCCACGACCGGTAATTCGAACGTCAACATGCGCCCCGTATACAGACATATATCGAAGATGAGAAGCGCCGCCCAGGGGAAGATAGTCACGAAGCCGAGGAATATCTGCTCATGCGGAAACACAGTTAGTCGATTTGCACTCTTTCTGTCTCCCTCAGGAGGATTCGGAGCGGGGGAGGGGAGGGGAAACGGACGAAGAGGTGCACTACCGAGCTTTCGATGTAGGAGAGGGTAGGCGGGAGGAGGGAGTACCACGCCATCATTGGGGTGGTTTTATATTGTATGTCGAGAAGATGTGGTAGGTATAGGTTCGAAGCAGCAGACCACTAGGAAGGTGGATTGGAGTATTGGGGTATTTGCATCGGAATCGGTGTGGCGGTCAGAGGCGGTGCAGTGTCCTTGCGGGATGCAGGTGAAGTTATGAGGAGAGGTATTTCGCTCGGAGAGACCGTTGCAGTTAATGAAAGGATGTGGTGGGTTACGCTGCTGAGCTGGCAGAAGGACCGTGTAGATATACTGTGGATGCTGGGAAGCCCGGCTTGGGGTCCGGAGATCCGGCGACAGGGCGGGCAGGCAGAAAAGGCGGGCAAACGGTGGTGTGATGCAAGGTAGGTAGCTAACGAACGAAGGTCGGACTTTCATGTGCGGAGAAGAGGAATCACAGGCGGTGGCCTCACCGGAGGCGATGAGGCTTGGATACAACCCTGGTGAACAGGGGGGAATTGCTGGGATTCGATGATCGCCGGCCGACTTGGCGAGGATAAGACCTCTGCCAAATCGGGCAATTCGTCAGCACCTTCCGCGGGGGTGCACGAACCACACTACTATAAGCTGACTGTAGGGAACACAGACTAGATATATTCAACAAGCAGGTATAATTTTTGGTAAACGTCCAGGAATATGCTTGTATGCAATTTATGTACAGCAATTCTAATCAAAAAGTCGTAGGCACATGTCTTCCGTACTCCGCCCAAATCCCAGCCCAATGTCTATGCACAATCGTTATCGCTGTAAATCAAGATCATTTACCGTGGCATCCGGTAGTGTTCGTACGAGGTGAAGCTGGGGTCGTCCTGCTCTACAGGTCCATATCCCCTCGTCCGCCACCGATCCAGCGGCGTCACCGTCTCGTTCACCGCCGGGCCCTGCGCGTGATGGAGCAGCTCCGTCTCGCTCTCGTTTCGCTGCTGGTAGAATCCACCGCTCATCGGGGCCGGTACGCGGAAGGCGGGATGAATATGGTCATTCAATGTCGGGTCGTATGCGTCATGTGGCTTCAAGCCGGACAGCGACGACGGCAGCGATGGAGCGGGAGATGATGCCCGCGAGGAGGTTGGCGACCATTCTCCCAGCGCACTGGCCGGTGTGTGCGAGCGTTCGGTCATCAGATCGTCGGGCCGGCCGTAGATACCTCCGCCAAACTCGTCCCGGAAGTCGGGGCGGTTCTTGTAGTACGAGAAATCCAAATGGTTCTCCGGGACCACTTCGAACGGAGCTGCTGCGTTTGCGTCGTCCATCATCGACTTGCCCGGGTGTGAAGACGACATGGCATCCATCGCGATGTCGGAATATTCACCTTCGCCCTCGAACGTTCCCAGCCGGCCGCTATAGATACGCTTCAAGGCCTCCGCAGCCTTGGCGTGCACCATCGGCGTGATGAGCGGCTTGTAGAGAGCCGGGTGGCCGAACTTGGAGTTGAGCCGCTCAGATGCCTTCTTGTTCGGCTTGCTGACCGCAAGGGCTTCAGCATCTGTCAAGTTCGCGCGGTTGTAGAACGTGATATCGTCGTCGAACTTTCTCATGCAATAAAACTTGAAGCCCAACATCAGGAGAGGAGGAGGAATCACGCAATAGACCATAGTCCACGTGCCCTTGGCGGTAGCCACGATGATGATGATAATGTTGGAGAGGATCACGGCAAAGAGCATGCGGTTGAACAAAACCCGCCAGAACTGCCCTCCAGACTCCGTCTTCGTCACGAAGACATACAGAAGCATGTATTTCTTCATCATCGCATCCAGGCCAAAGTACAAAGCAGTGACCGGGAGGACAATCGGCTGCAGGGTAGCGAAGCAGAGGGCCACGGTCGCGTAGAACAAGAAGTAGTTATAGTAGCTTGCGTAGTCAAAAGCCGGCGGGGCTGTCCATTCAATCGCCTGCCGAGGCGTTGGCGAGAGAAACGTCTTGGAGAACCAGACCCAAAAGACCGAGACCAGCTGAATGAGGTCGATTGTGGCTCCGAGATTACGCTGCAGCAAATATGTCACCCAAAATGGCGAGACCTGGCACAGAGCGTTCACAATCTTGATATAGAGTTTCCCGTCTTTGATCGCTTGCCAGGCGTTTTCATCGGAGCGCTCTGCATCAATGACGGCGGACACGAATGTCCACGCCGCAGAGAACAAGGAAAAGACGATCAAATTGTTGAAGACGAAGAAAGTGTAGAGCTTGTTGAGAACATGGCGCTCTCGCGAGGTCTTGGTGACATCGCCGGCTCGAATTGCCAACCGACGGAAGATGATAGGCAAGACAATGTAAACAAGGGAGGTAACGGCAGGGGACAGGATACCCTGGACTGCAGCCCAGATGTAAGGACTGTTATCCATCGAAGTCCGGAATGCCGGCCAGACCGAGGCCAGGTTGTTCAAGTTGGACAAGAAGATCGCAATCAAGCCGTTAGGTACGACGTACACCAGCGTAAGAAGCGACACCCAGATTGCACTAAGAAACCGCTTCCACTTGCGCGCAGCCTTCGACAGTGGCAGGTTTTCCCAAATGAGGTCATCGGGCCGGGGCGCCAGAACGATTGTAGTTCCTTCCGGGTGCTTTTTGCGCGCGGTATAAGCAACAGCGTGGGCATGCTCAATCATATCCCAGCTGACAAAACCAAAGGGCATGGCATTGCGCCGATCAATCGATGATCGAACGTGCTTAATCTCTTCTTCCAGTCTTTTGATCTTATCCGTCAAATAATCAATCGCATCCACGCGGCCGTTAGTGTGCTCCTTTCTTTCCTTTCGCGGAGGGCGCATAGTCGGACGTTTCGGTGGAAGCCGATCTGGGTGTTTAAGGTATTTCGCCAGGACTGCTTCGAGTTCGCGCACAGTTTCGTCGTGTTCCTTAATCAGACGAGGCAGTCCCTTGACGTTACGGCCGATGGAGGCTCGCGGGACAGCGGCGGTTGGATTTACCTCATCCGTCAAACGCAGAACACCTTCATCCCCTCGAGCTGCGGGAGGAATATCAGTAATCTGCCGGCGCAATAGGTCAGTACAGGTACATCGTGTCTATAGGATTGCTTCAACGCACCATCAAGGTTCGCGCATGGAGACTGCGCTGGTATTCGGGACTCTCAAAATACTTCCTCCGCAGCGCCAGCACGCCCTTGTAATTTCTCCAGAGAAAGAAAGCAATGATCGCATCGAAGGCCCACGCGCAGATCACCTGGCCCCAGATTGCGTCTGACGTAACGTAGAGCACGGTCATCGTCGAGAAGGCACCATACTGGGACACTGTATCACCCGTGCTCTGTGTGAGATTGAGCGGGATCATCAAGCCGCAGCCGATGATGCTCAGGAAGATGAAGATATTTCGGCACATCTTGGCGAAGCGAACAAACATGGTGGCATCGAGCCCAATGCAGTCGACCAACGCCGGCTCCTTGGTCCGCAGCACAGGCTTGAGCCAGGCGAAGAAGCCCCTGCCCACTGGCGGCGGAGTGTGTTTGTTATCGGCATGTTTCACCTTGGGCGCATAGACAACCGAATGGCGAGGGCGGAAGAGGGAGAACAATAAGGCCAAGAGGATGGAGAAGCCCGCGGAGGTGGCTAATGAAGCCCAGATGGCGTTGACTTGGAACTATAAAAATGTCTTAGCTGGCTGTCGGAGGCTGAAAGAGGCGTGTGGGCGAGAAAAAAATAACATACGGCAGACGAGAAAGGATTCGAGATGAGCTTCAGGAATTGCTCCGTGGGGTCATCGCGCTGCTGAAGAGCGCTAGGATGCATGATGGCGGGCGAGAAGAGGCGGCATCGAGGGAGCAGAACAGGAGAAACGAGGGGAGGATGAGATAGACAAAGAAAGAAGGGACGATGCTACCGGAAGAGAAGGGAAGAAAACGAGAGTGAAACCGAACCAGATAAAGGAACTGATGGCCACGGAAGAAACTGAATGATGATGGAGAAGCAAGAGGGCCCGAGTGGGTTTTGTTGGAGGCGGGTCTGGAACACACGACGCCGACAAGGTTGGAGTGGCCGTTGCCCATCAATCCATTCTTCTGGGGATCGATAGGCGGTCTTACTTACGTACCGGAGGTACGTATCAGGCCCGATTGACAGGCAGGCTCGGTCGGAAATGCATTAATTAACTAAGTAGTGATACGCTGTCTGTGGTGTCATTGGTCATCGCATGACCGGGGACGGCCGATCTAGAATGTAGGAAGCTTGATCTCCCCTGCTGCTTGATTGCAGATGGATTCAACTATTTTCTCCCCTCCCCCTTCTATATCCTTCAGGCCCTCCATGCTCGTTCCTCTGCCGCACGGGTTTTCAGGGTCACTCGGTGACCGTGCCAGCAGTGCTCGCCTCAAAAACAGACTTTCCAGCAAGTTCAGTGACAAAAAAGCAAAAACCACAACAGCCCTGATCCACTCGGGCAATTTGGTTGGTTCATGCCCCATCCTCGACCGGCTTGCTATTTTGGTGGGCCAATCCCGGTCAGCCATTGCCAGCCAGTCTGGAACAATTTCTGATCATCTTCGGACTAGCGCTGCCTTTCTGAGACACATTCTTGGCACTTACACCCAGTGGAGTCTGGTATTTCGGGGAGTCCGTTGGCTTGATTGGTCGCAATACATGGCAATGCTGTCCGGGTACCTTACCTGACCATACTTACCTGTGTGGCTGACCAGCAACTCTGTGGCTCTGGGTCAGATGGAGAACAGAAGAAAGCACTTCTTTCCATTCCATCAAGTGAAAGAAAACGGGCCCTGTTAGCGAATCTCAGTCTCATTGGGCACAGTAGAAGAGAATGACGGCACCTCATGATAGCCATGTACCGGCTGATGTGGCTATCTGATCCCTCGGATTATGTAACCCCTTTTCGCAACACGGATACTTTGTACTCTACTTGGTGCACGGCTATTTCACTACTATTGCCAATAGTAGTGAGGATCCCGCTTACACAGTCAGAGAAGGGGGACAGAGAAGCTGAAGTCATGAAAATTGGGAGCACCAGAACCACTTAGTCGATCAGGTTTCAGGGTCCAACACAATGACCCCATGGTCTAGGGATTCTATTAGCCGCGCACAGATGATGGTGGCAACGGGAAAGGAATTGATTGCATTGGTGCAAGATACAGTTGAGACAAGCAGAGCTGATATAGACGGAATAGCCTTCCTCTCACTAGCGATCTCGATGGTGATCATGGGTCCAAGCTGACAGCATCACACCCGAGTATTCTATTTATACATACAGAGCGGGAAAGGGCTCATGTTTGCGTGAATTGATGTCCTGAGACAAACTCCATTACCTACGGCTGATTGGAGCGAACACGGGTCCATGAAGTCATGGCTCGGTTACGCTGCCGAAATGATCACAACGTGCGCATTAAGTTTCATACAGCAGACATTACTTTATTTCGTCTTCAGACTACTTACGGAGTACTACATACATCATCATCAGCATCATCATCACCGCTCTCAGAACTCCGTATCAATCAACAACATCAAACATCCCCACAGAGGCAGCCAATGGGGCCCCGTATCATGGCTCCAGGTTACGGTCAAACAAACAACATATTTTTGCCGTTCTTAAATTGTCATTTTATGTACTGGTATCTGGTTTCGTCATATTCCGAAGGCACATCACATCAGGTAAACGTCAAGACCTTTTTACAGCTGGCCAGCAGTGTTGAAGTCCTCCAGAGCAACCTGGACACGCTTGGACATGGTCTTCTCACCCTCACGAACCCAGACGCGGGGGTCGAAGAACTTCTTGTTGGGCTTGTCCTCACCGTCGGGGTTACCGACAGCGGTCAGGAGGTAGTCCTTCTTGTTGAGCATGTAGTCACGGATACCGGACATGTAGGCGAACTGCATGTCAGTGTCAAGGTTGACCTTGACAACACCGTAGCTGATAGCCTCCTTGTACTCCTCCTTGGAAGAGCCGGAGCCACCGTGGAAGACAAAGAAGACGGGCTTGTCAGAGGAGGAGCCGGTCTTCTCCTTGACGTAGGCCTGGTGCTTCTGGAGAAGCTCGGGGTGGAGACGGACGTTGCCGGGCTTGTAGACACCGTGCACATTACCGAAACCAGCGGCAATGGAGAAGTAGGGGCTGATGGGAGCAAGGGCGTTGTGGATGGCAAGGATGTCCTCGGGCTGAGTGTACAGGGAGTTGTTGTCAACATCCTCGTTGTTGACACCATCCTCCTCACCACCGGTGATACCGATTTCCTAAATAGAGTCAGTCGACGATCTTATCTAGTAGCAATGACAGTGACACATACCATCTCGAGCCACTGCTTCATGGGGGCAGCACGCTTGAGGTAAGCGGCGGTGGTCTGGATGTTGTAGTCGACGGGCTCCTCAGACAGGTCAATCATGTGGCTGGAGAAGAGGGGCTCGCCGTGGAGCTTGAAGTACTCCTCATCCGCGTCGAGGAGACCATCGAGCCAGGGAAGGAGCTTCTTGGCGCAGTGGTCGGTGTGGAGGACGACGGGGACGCCGTAGGTGGGAGCAATGCTGCGGATGTAGTGGGCAGCGGCGATACCACCGGCAATGGAGGCCTTCTGGCCATCGTTGCTGACACCCTATCATGAACAGTCAGTGGCTGTTTCTGGCTTCAAAGGAGAGCACCTATAGGTCAGGAAGAATGTTCCCAAACGTACCTTGCCAGCGAAGTAGGCAGCACCACCCTGAGAGACCTGGAGGACGATGGGGCACTTCTGGTCGCGAGCAGCCTCAAGGCAAGAGACGACGGTGGAGGAGGAAGTCACGTTCTAAAGTGAAGGGGGCCGCTGTTAGTCACTGGAGTCTAGTTTTGCGGGATGCAATTGAGGGGTGGTGAGACCTACAATGGCGGGGATAGCAAAGCCCTTCTCCTTAGCGTAGTTGAAGAGACGGAGAACGTCATCACCAACGATGACACCGGACTTGCGGGAGAGCTGTTCAAGGACACCCATTGTGATAGTTCGTAGATGAGGACTAAAGGAGGTAAACTGATGAGTAATTGATAGATTGATGAATGGAGAAGAAGAGAAGAGGACAACAGGAGGAGGAGCGAGACAGAGGAACCAAATAAATTCTGTGGCAGAGGACTAAAAGCTTTACCGAGCGACGAATACGGAGCTGGACATTTAAATGACGAGCACGGGCAAGGAGGGGCAACGCAGGACCAGGAGGGGGGGAACTTGGGACATGGAGGGGCCAACGGTACTCGAAGGACTCACCGGGTGGTGGGGAATGATGTGTTCAGTATGATTTCAGTGACCGGTTGGGGTTCCACGGGAGAGAGCTGTTCGTGGTGATGCTATTGAATGAGAGATGATTGCAGATCAAGAAGGGTAAAGAAGAGACTTGGAGGGAAGGGGGGAAGAAATTTCCAATTTCTATCCGGGATCTTGTAGAGATCTTTTTAAAGTCTTCAACACCGGACAGATCTAGTCCGAGGCTATGAGATGATGCTTCCATCTTGTTCCCTTTCCTGCCTGCTATGGTGGGGTTCATTCGGAAGCCCGCAATGACGCTGTGGGCTGCCTCAGGCTGCATAATTCTCCCGGGAATCCCCGCGCCCATCACATGACATCATTCAGGCTGCCTTGCCTTCGGTCCGACTTTCTATCGTCCAGGAATCAAAGCAGCAGTATTGCTGCTGGTCTGCTAGAAAGGTGGATACAGTACTCCGCCTTACACCTACATAGCAGGTACGTAGTTTCTCATCAGGGTCTGCATACAGCAGCATAGACAGGGCTAGAGGGTACATCATCACGTCGCTGTGATCAATGGTCAACCGGTTGCACTGGACTACCATTTCGGCTACTGACCCCTTTTGGGTTCCTGCCTGCGAAAACATAGACCCAGTTCTCTCCGTATTTCTTTCGTGCTTCATCCAACACCGGAGAATTGAGCGGGAATTTTCCTCCGTTCTCGTTGCAGGATGTTCCAACCACTTCGTTGCTTTTCTGCCGGTCACGGCCTAGACTGTCCTTCCCCGGTCCAGCTGATCTGAAAATAAGATAAAGAGGGGGTGCTCTTCCGCCGATATGTGGAGCCTTGGGTAACCCCGGGTTGGGGATATCCTCGTCCTTGTAGTATTCCGGGCCTAAAACCGGATAACCACCGGCGAAACGTTCAACCTGCATGGTCCGGATGACGGGCTGGCTAGTCAGGATTGTTCGAGACCCGAGGAAAACTAACCCCAACGGCATCGAAGCAGCTAGTTCATGTCTGTAGTGTTGTGTTTACGCATACAATCAGTATCCACTTCCTACTAGGAGCGCGTATCCCCAAAAATTCTCGTGATTGGAGTGTAACTACTGTCACATAATAATACATAGAGCTCAATTCAAATGGGTAACAGAACTATTGCAAAAATCGCATCAAGAAATATCAAGCATCGGTTCCGTTCACTTGCGGCGAGTAGGCTCCAACAAGCATACTGAACTGCCCTCCTCCTGCGGCTCCAACCAGCTTCTTTCCGTTAACGTGCTTGTTTTGGAGGAGGGTTGGCCGTTCAACCTCATCCACATCGCGGTGGCCGGCCTGACGCTGTACGTTGAAACCCCAGCTGTACGCCTGACCGTCTTTGGTGATAGCAAAGGAGTGGTCACTGGAAGCTGTCGCGAAGACAACCTCTTCCTTGATGTCGGTGAGGGGAGTTGGCACCGTCAGGATACGGGGCCGTCCATGCTCATCGTGCACAAGCTCCTCCTCCGGCATGTCCGCCAGTGGGATACCAAGAGCCTTGTTATCCACGCGTCCCCATGAAAGGCACTTTCCGTCTTCGGTGACAGCCACACTGTGGTCCTTTCCACCGCAGATGGAGACAATCTTGCTGTGCTTGCGGAAAGACTTGACTTCCGTCGGGTAGAGCACAACGGCATCGCTTTCTCCAGCGCTCATCGGAACGGCCGTCTGCCCGAAGTTGTTAGAACCCCAGGCGTGCACGCGACCGTTCTTGCGGACAGCAAAGGAGTGGTAAGAACCAGTTCCGATGCTCACGACATCCGACGGAAGAGCGCACTGTCCCGGGATGAGACTCTCGAGCTTGCCGTGCAGACGTCCAGAAATTCTCCGACCAAGCTGGTTCTGCTCCTCACAACCCCAGGTCAAAACAGCGCCCTTCGCCGTGAGCGCCAGGACGTGTTGTGCGCCAGACGCAAGCTGTGTCACTTTCTCGAGACCGGGGACCAAGACTGGCTGTCTTTGAATCTTCGTCTCGGGAGAGAAACCGATCACACCGTTGCTTCCCTGTTCCCAGTTAGATCAAAAATAACAATGATTCAAAAATAAGCGTGGCAACTCACTCTGAATGTACCCCAACCATAGACACGACCCTCCTGAGTGAGAGCAAAAGTGGCACTATCCGTCGCGGTGATCTGTGTGAAAACAGTACCTTCAGGGAAGAGAGCAGAGTCCACAGCCGTGGGAGTCGCCTCCTTCATGTTGAGGTCAACCTCATCATCATCAGAGTCCGAGTCCGACTCCTCCTTAGCCTCATCGCCATTCACGCCATCACCGTTCTCCTCCACCTTGCGCTCCTCCTTTGTATCTCTACCCAGTGTACCCTCATCATTGACACCCCAAGTAAGGATCTTGTTATCGTGCGTAAGAGCAGCCGAGTGCACACCACCGATAGCCAACTGCACGACACCGACCGAATCCGCGGGCAGCTTCGGGTTCAGGACCGGACCAGGAATTTCAGACTTTTTCGTCGCATCACCAAGACCCAATTCACCGTAGCAATTCGTTCCAAAGACATACACATCGAGGCGCTGAGTAGGTGCGTGGTTGATGATGGCCAGAGCTTCTACCGGAACGAAACAAATACCCGTTAGCTCAACATTCCGCGGAGCAACATCATCGAACGCGCCACAAAAACAAACCCCAAAACAAAGCAGGACACTAATTTCGCAACGCAATTGATCGATTGAACTCACCCTTCTGCTTCTTGGTCACGCGCGCCGGCGCCGCTGGTGCAGCCCCTGACGTTGTCGTCTCTTCCACAGAGTCTGCAGCCTTACGCTTCCTCGAAGAAGCCTGGGGTTTTGCGCTCGCGCTGGTGTTGGCGGTCTTCTTCACCTTGTCGGCAGCAGCAGTCTTCGAGGCAGTCTCGGTTTTGGCCTTTGAGGCGCTAGATGCTGCGCGTTTGGGAGGCATTGTGTGATGGTGTGTTTTGTATTTCGCCTTTTTTTTTTGGTTATGAAAGACGGTAAGGTGAGATGTAGTATGTGATGCCTACACCCGAATTGATAGAGGAATTGGTAAGTAGGCAGAACAAATTGACAAAGTATGAGAGAAAAGGGAAAGAAAAGAAAATTAGAAAATTTGCGATAAGGGTTGCGGAAACTAGGTCGGTGAGATTATGCGGTGTTGGAGAGATTCAATAGTAGTAACACACCAGAATAAACAATAATAAATATTGAAATGATGGCAGGGATATTCGGAACCTGGAACAGAAAAGTGTTGTGCGCTCCAATCAGGGAGTGTTGTTGGGACGGGAGGCGGTTCCGGGGGCTCCCTGCACTGACTAAGGCGGTGATGAGGTGATTGGGTTCCCTGTTTTTCAAGGGGCGCGCTGCATTAGCGGTCGTGCCCGTCGTATGACAGTCAGGGGACGCGGGAATGTGAGTGTTACTGGATAGTAGTAGAATTGCTGTGCTTTTACTATCTTGAAAAATAAGAAGTAGGAACCTCGTGCATGTGTCTAATACTGTGTACTGTCTAATATGGTTTTGATGTTCCTTTTGCATAACTGTCATTCCTGAGCCGCTGCGCGAGCAGGCTCCTTACATGGGTCGGTGAAATGGGCTTGTATGTACCCCCGAGATGCTCCTCTATTTATCCAGTATGCGTTTGTTCTTTTCCCCCCCTCGTATATGCATAAAATAGAAGTGAAATTGAAGACCGCTTACGCGCCAGGCGTGGGCTTCTCAATCTCATAGAACAAGAGGTAGACCTCGCGCTGCATCCCCAAAACATCGGATGTTTTGCATTCTTTGACTTTCTCGTCCGAGACACGCCACCATCGGTCGTTCTGCTTACGGCGTCGACGGAGCCGACTGCTGGATCCGGCCGATGCTTCAACTGAAGTTGCTGGCGTACTGCGATCGCTGGTGAACGACGCTCGCGAGAATGACTTGCTCCAACGTCCACCCTCAGTGGAGGATGAGCTGTGCGGGTCTGACACAGGCGATAGGTTTTGCTTGGATGTTGACGACTTGGAGCGAGTGCTCTGGAAAGACACTCGTGGGCTCGATGTCGGTCGAGGCATCGGTGACGGGGGTGGTTGCAGTTGAGAGGGACCGGTCGGTGACCCTGTCGATGTCGAGATGCTTAGGGGTGCCGGCTCGCTCTCTGACGAGTTGCGAGCCTTTAGCTGAGGGCTAGGCGCCTCGGATGGGTTTTCGCTAGTTGCCCGACTCTGAGCGTACGAACTGAATACATCTGGCGTTGAGAAGGGTGGATAAAGGGTATTGCGTCGGAATGACTCGTAATGTCCGCTATGGTGGCTGCCTTTATGACAGACAATTGCCAACAGCTTGTACCATTCTCGGGTCAAGATACCACCCAAAGGCAGCCGCTCCGGAAAAGATACTTTGGCTGCGTTCTTGGTAGAGCTGCTGTGGTCAAAGATCGATCGCGAAAGATGAATGGCAATGATTTTGGGGAAGGCCGTTATCCGCATATGCCTCGCAATTTTTCGTTTGGGAGCGAGTTCAGAAGCTGGCAAGATTACACCCTCCAAAGGACCTTCTGGGTTTGTGGCGAGGGCTGTCTGAATTTGCTGGATTTCTGCCTCGAGCCTGGTCCGGTCATCTTTGGCGCGGGTCCGGTGCAATTCCTGGGCCTTGACCTCAAGAGCATGCTGCAATCGACATTTGTCGCACTTGAAATCTTCGATATATTCAGTTTTGAGTAAACCGTCAAAGCAGGCGCTAAGCGTGGTAGAGCTCTTTTGAGGCACTTGCAAGGTCAAATTTACAAAAGAAGTCTGGTTAGGCTTGTATTGATAGTGGCAAAACAGGCACTCGATCTGGGACTCGAGCTTTCCTTCGAAAGGGAAGCCGTACTCGTGGTCGATTTCTTTGAGTTTGTTGTCGATAATGGCGGGCAACCCGTTCTCAGATCCGTCATCAATCCGCACCTCAACCTCTGCAGGGCTGTTGGGAAAAGTCTCATTGCCTGGTTCTACAGACTCCGGACCTGGCGTTAACTCCGGTATGGTCTTCGCTCGTGATCGTGCTTTAACGCCGGCGTGGTACTCATCGCAAAGTCTTTCTGCGACAATCTGCAAGAACTCCTGCGCATCCTGCTGACTACGACTGATCCGCGTCCGATAGGCATACTCAAGAGACTGGATGAAGGGCCGCGCAGATATGGTTTTCTTGTAGATCGGGCGTTCGTTCAGTCGGTCGAGCATCTCCTTGAGAGCTCTCGTGATGGTACCCTGTTGCAATTCCCTCATCCTGTCCGGCTTCGCATCCCGAGGCATATCATCCGGTGAGGGAAGTTCGTTGTATAAATCAGAACCGTCCAGTTCACGCCTATGGAGCTCTCTGATCAGGTAGACACGTAGATCACCAAGCCCTGCAAGAGCCTGCAACACCGAATTAATGAAGCAGTCATTGGCGGGGTTGGACAAGCCAACAATGTTCTTCTTGCGGGAATTGTCGTGTGACTCGTCTCCATCGATAGTGTAGTTGGGGCCGAAGACATAGAATAAAGCAATAGCCGCAAGAGATGCTCCCGCCGCATAAGCGGCGACAGTGCTTGGTTTTTCCTGCATCGCCCCTTATATGTGCCGGGTTGTGTAGTTGAGGAGAGAAGGACTGGGGGACGGAGAGAAGCGGTCGTCGACGTCAATGCTATGGTTGATCCATCGAAAGATGTGCCATGAAGCTGGGTAGTTCAAACAGACACGGAACTCCGGTGCCAAGAAGACGAGCCAAGCCGAAATTTTCCTCCTACACTTGTATCCTCTCACATATACGCAGCCTTCAGGGGTCCATGGGATCAGATGGGGGGTTTTATCAGTTGTTCGATGGCTATGAGCGGGATAACCGTCAGCAGCAGTTCCCCCATAGAACCGAGGGTGTGGAGAGGGCATGGGGTAATTTCAGGTAGACAGGAGGGGGGCCGCCAATGACAGCGTTCTCACCAAAATAGAGTAATGAGGCGGCTGGTATCCCACTCCAGTACATGCCAAACACGAGAATACTTGACGAACCTATTCGACGCGGTAGCCGCAACGGAAGACTTCTCGTTGGATAGGCGGTAGCAGGGCTGCTTCTCTGTTTTCCTTGGTATTCTCGGATGTTTCTCAGCGCCGAGCGCCCGCTATGCTCAGCGCACCGACGGGAGACTTCGGCGTTTCCCACAGCGGTTCATAATCCCCACATTACTTTATTGGTGATTCACTATGGTTCAACTATTCCGAAGATTTGAGGATGAACCAAGAGATCCCAGTGGTAGTCCGAGACATCCACAAAGCTATAATTTCAGGGAATAGGGGATGGTTGCAAGCTCGAAGGGCTCACTCCTGTCGATAGAACACGCAAATCCCTTGCTGCCTCCTGTAATAGCATGGCGAGGCTCAGTGTAACGAAGCAATCTGACAATCAAGCTAACAACCACTGCGGATACAGGCAGGTTAGGTTTAAGAGCACGAAGTCCGAACGAACCCCACGAGAAACAATAATGATGAGCGGGGGTGCCCGGTGTGATCGGGGTGAGAAGGAGGAGGGGCACTCGAATGTTCTATTTGCCTGAGCCTCCGCCTCAGCCCGAGTCACAAAACAAAGGAAACTACCACGCGAAAACACTAGCACTGTACACTTCGTGGGAGCTTACCCCATAACGCATGATATTACTTTAACAACACTTTTGGTTGCCTCTATTCTAGTCAATAGTCTCATATCATAACATGCTAACATCCATAAACCATCGAGATTTTCAGGAAAGCATCGTATCAATCGGTACCCATAATACACGCAAAAATCCTTTTTTTTTCAGAAGCCAGCCTGATTTTGAAGAAGTGCATCATTTAGGCCCGTAGGGACTCGGGCAACGTAGCAACCTTTTCATTGAAAAGGTCCTCAGCCTGCTTCCAGACGCGGGCGTTTTGCCGGTCCTTCAGCTGGAGCAAGCTAGGGAGCAAGGCCTGGCTGAACATCTCCGAGCTCTCACGGGGCAGAAGAGACGGAAGGTGATCGATGCTGATCACACTCAGGCCAGCGACCTGGCTTCCACCTGCCAAGGTGACGGGAACAGTAGGCTTGTCAAAGGTAGTAGTGATAGAATACACAGGGAGAGGGTTGTGGGGGTTGGTACTATAAGAAAGAAGTTATACAATGGTCAGCGGAATTCCCAAGGTCGGGAAATGGGAGCCTTACGTATCAGCGCTCACATCGCAGATGACCGACAAGCGGCGGTTCGGCGAAGTAAGAGTCTCTGGAGTAACGAAGGGTGGGATCTGTGCGCTGAGGTAAATGCAGTTGACGAGAATATCGACATCCTCAACGATTTCCCGGAAAGGACCGCCTGCAGTAGATGTTAGTGCACGAAAGCAATAAAAGGCTAAAGACAACTGACCCTTCTTGGTTTCCTCGATATCCCACCGAACGATGTCGGAGTCTGGAATACCCACGTCCTTGGCGAGCTGCACAGCACCACTGCCACAACGGCCGAGCTGTGACATTGTCAGAAGAGTTGTAAGGTTAGACGAGACGGATAACTCACAGCGCCAATGACAAGGATCTTGGGAGAGCGGCCAGACTGCTTCTTACCCTCCTCGAGGGACTTCTTGACCGACTCGATCAGGGCATCCTGGTTGATGTACGGAACCTCACCAGGCAAAGGCTCGCCCTCAGGGTGCGTCAACTGCCAAGCCCAGTTCTTAACAGCCAAAGCGGAACCTGCATAACCGGCGGACCAACCGAAAGCTAAGGCATAAGATCAGCTGCTGTAATGGTACATATTCATGCATAGTTCTTACCAGCGACTCTCCGACCAACATCATCAGTGAGGAATTCAAGATCCAAGAGAGTACCACCTCCCCGAGGCCAGCGGCTGAGGACCTGCTCCCAGCCACCCTGCTGCTTGTAGCAGTGTGCAAAGGAGATGTGAACGTGCTCAAGGGGGAAATCATCCTCAGGAAGCTCCTTGAGACCCAGAATGTAGGCATCCTTGGGGGCATCCTTCACCCAAGAACCTTCCTCCACCAGCGGTGCGCCAATCTGTAAGATGAGAAAGGTGAGATTCCGTACGAACAAAAGGGTGACGTGCTTCTACACGCATACCTTGGCAAAATCTTCGTCTAAAAAGAGATAATCATGTTAGACAGGTTCACAAATCCGAGTGTGGAGATGACAAGCATTAAAGGATCCAGCTGCTAACCAGCCGTAGTAGCCCCTTAAACGTCATTGTAATCGTGTGTTAGGAAGATGTCTCTCTTACCATCAAAAATCCGCTGGGTGGAGCGCTCGACAGTCACTTCATATCCAGCATCCATAAGAGCCTTGCAGGTAGTCGGGGTCACTGCACCATATTAGTATCCTAGAGTAATATGCTATTGGCTTGAGGTCCAATACTCACAAGCAGACCGAGCCTCGGCGGGCTTGGTTTCGGCACGCAGCCAGATCTTGTTGGAGGACATGTTTGTAAGATGGCAATTGGGTGTTATCTGCGTAGAGTTGATGTTCAGAATCAGAATTTTTAAAGTTCTTCGACGAGAAATTAATGCTATCGCTGCTGGACCTATGACACAGACTTGCCCCTCTGGTGATAGCGGGGAAGAAGAGTGGTTGTTCCGTCCCGGAATGTGACTCAGCGTGCACTGTCATCGCCGATTTCGGCGATTTGAGATACCGCAATTACGAGAGGTCGGCAGCCCTAGAATACGCCTCGAGTAGAAGTGCCAGAGATGGCTACGATAGGGCTGTCCTCAATGGCATAGAGAATAATTCAAATTATCATGGCAGCCATGCTAATCAAGTTCATATTCTGCTATTCAAAGCAATTCATACTCTCATACACAAGAGGTGTTCTAACTTCCGTCTGTTTTTCGACAAATGCCATCTTGATGAATGCCACTCCTAACTTCATGAGACAAACGATCAGAGGCTTCAGAGAGCAACCTTAGTGCGACTGCGTGTTCGACTACTGATCCCATCCGTCGGGGGCTCTCTTTTGACAGATTCCTTTGCAGTTTTGGATCGCCCACCCTTCTTCTTGTCACCATTTGTAGTTAGGCCTTTCTTAGTGTGCTTCGCAGTCGTAGGAAATGGCGGTGGGGTTTCCGGTCCATTTTTCTCTGCATAATTCCTCTTCTTCTTCTTGGTTGCAGGCTCCGTTGCATCATCAGCGCCAGTTTTATCAGCTTCCACTATCGCGGGTGTCACCTCGTGCTCCCGCTTCTCACCCACATTCGACTCAGTAACAGACTCCTTGGGAGCTGTATCTACAGATGTGGGAACCTGCGAGCGGGGTCCGGTCTCATCGGTAGATTTCGCTTCATCAACGGTCTTGGTGTTTGAAGTAGGCTTGCTCTCCCCAGCGGGCTCAGTCGCGGAGGATGGTTTCGCTGGAAGATTGGCGCCGTTTGTTGGCTTTTGTTCTTCTGAATTGTCAGTATATAACATCTGGAGTATGGGAGAGCCGGACGAGGAGAAACCACAAGGCGATAGGTTTATAGAACCGGACCTTGACATACCTGATGATGTTTTGGAGTGATTACTGGGTTGGGAAGTCATAACTGCCCGCAATTGCTGGATAAAGCGGGAAATGGTGAAGTTTCGTCAAAGGTACCTTCGTCTTGTCTGCAAAACTTGTGATCGCGAATGGTATGCGACTAGTATTTCAATCAATGGATGACGGAGAAGCCGAAGATCATCTGCTCAGACGGAGCGGCTGTTGGGAGAAGGTCCGAGAAGAAGACGAGGTGAGGTTGCGCCGTGACGTTTACTAAGGCACGACCAGGGGCGCTAGCCCGATTCACGCGGAACCCAATCTCGGCAGTCCCCTCTTGCATTCCAGATCGAGAAATAAACAGAACCACTAAGAATTGCACCGATGCTCAGCCTGAGGGGAAGAGATAAGCCCTAGCTGCACCGGGGTTGTCGTTAGAGGTAAGCACGCCAAGAAGAGGAGAAAGCACCCCTTAGCGGCAGGAGTGGAGTCCGATGCGGAGTATTAATGCCGGGGGGAGTTGGTGCTTTGGTGTGACTGTCGCAATGACAATGCTGCTGGCTGGTTGGCAGCGAAACATGGCTGACGAATCTCATCCCCTCGATCTGCGCGCTTCCGTTAGGATCCGTGACGCAAATCAGCCCGGTCAAAGAGCTGCATTGCATGAAGACTTTTCGTAAATTATTCCACAAACGCTGTAGAAGAACGGTTACATCAATCAGGTCCACGCCATGTCTACTCGAAGTAGTCGAGAAAGCAAAGCCTTTTCATCTGCGGATGCTTCATGTTCGACCTTCGCTTTATCCGTGTCTGACACGTGCTGCAGGATACCTGCCAGCCATGTGGCATCTCCCCGCTTCCCCTGGTCCATCAAAAGACGGAGCGCGACCGAGCCACTGCGCACAAATACCTCTCGTAGGCCCACCGGCCATGTCTGCAACGTGGGCATATCCTTATTATACACATACCGAAGAAAGGGCTTCGGGTCGGGTATTGTGGGGTGATAGAGAGCCACTGAGGCAGTGACAAAGTCCGTACACACGGTAGCAATTACCCTGGCGTATTCTTCATAGACAGATGCAGACACCACGTTATTATCATTCGGTACTTCCCGACTGACCTGCTGGAACAGGTATTTACCGGCGTGTCGAAGAAGGTTTTTCGTGTCACGTCTGTTATGCAGATCCTCCATGGAGAAATACATATCTCCTACCTGCACGTAGTACCGCATAGCGGAGGACAAGCCACCTCCATATTGATTCTCAGCGGCAAGGAAATCAGTCAAAAGATTTCTAGCGACACGCTCGGCGAGGCTTCGGCTGATATGGCCATTGAAGGCCCGAAGATCAGCATTGGCCAACATTTCCAACCAGGTCAAAACAGTATCTTGCATGCCCTCCGCAACCATGAACTTCACCAAGGTGGCAGACGTCTGTCGATGATCAAATATCTTTAACCGATCTCGCCAACCCGACGCAAGCCACCAGTTGACAACTTTGGTCCCTGCCTTGGAATCTTTCATGGCCTTGACAAAGTCATCGCCGGTACCTCTTGCAAGCATTAACTGATACTGCAAGCATTGGAGAAGGTCGCCTTTAGTGACATGTCCTGCCGCTGCCAATTCGTCGAATACCACCATGGGCTCTGTCAACATTCTTCGTTGTTTCGCATCGCGCATGCCTGACGCATTACTGGAGATGGGGGAGGCCGAGGGGGCTACCCGGAAAAGCGGGTTGTCCAAGATGTTGTGGAGAAGTCTATCAGTCGCATGAGCAGACGAATGGGAATTTTCTGGTGGATGCTCGGCAGAAGCTCCATTACGGTCGGATGTAGAAGGGTTGTTGGTCGGATATTCACGATCGAGCTGGCGACGGAAGGAGGATGTGATGGCATTGAGGAGTTGCTCGGACTGACGAGGGGTGCGGGGGAGCGGGAGATGCAATTTAGACCAAGGATATCTGACGGCCGGGGAGGCCCTCATAGTGGAAGAATTATCACACACGCGGCGCCTGTCGCAAAAAGCAGCTAGATAATGGTAAATGAAGGCTGTCGACACTGGCTGGACCCCTTCTGCTGGGGACAGGTCCCGGGCTGCGCCTTATCCAGCAAGTCACGAGCAATTTTGGCCCAAAACGACGGGCGGTGAGCAAGGGCTGCCAGTGCCACCTCACCACGCGATCAGCCTGGCTGTGATTTGGAAGGGAGCTGAAGATGATCTATCCCTCAATTGAGTTGACTGGTCGCCCAGTCGGAATTTGAACAGATGTAGGATAAATACAGTGTGGCAGATGCCGGTCCACCACGAATCTGAAGGAACACATGCCTGGCTTAACTGATTTCCACATTACCATCGTCATAATATTAGCAGTAAGTAGTGATGACGAAATCATCGACAGAGCGAACCCAAAGACTCGGAACGCCCATCAGGCGAGGTGGTACGAGGTAAGTAACAAACCGATTGGTAGAGAGAGCAGTTCTACCTCAATAATGAGCAAAAAAAAAGCACAATTTGGAACCATCAACTTCATTTCTCATCTACTAGCAATCGCACCAGTAACACTGTACGTAGCTAAGCAATTAAGTCAGTTGGCAAAGTAGTAGTACTACTACTACTCCGTAGTTATCCCAGTGATCGGGTTGGTAAATTGGAACGCGGTAAGGTAAAGCAGGTAACACTGCCCAGGACCGCATGCTCGCTAAAAACGGGGCGCGGGCAACCAACGCGACCGACCGAAAGTCGCCTTCTCTTCCCCTTCCGTCCCATCCACACCTCGAACCCCATCCATTCAATGAACTCGATCTGCTGCTAAGTAGTAGTCTTTCCCTACTAAACTTTCTGCACCTCCTCCCCCTTCACCTCTAATTATTATTTCCTTTTTATCTTTTCTTGTGTCTTTTGCATCCTTTTTTTATCTCTCGACTCTTTCGGTCTCTTTCTTCTCCTCTTCCTCCCTCCCAAACCCAAAATCCTGGCGGTCCTTGTGTGCCCTTAGTGGTTCTGGTGCTGACCTCTCTCGTGAGGCTGCATCTCATCATTGCTACCGTACTAAGTTACGACCTTTTTACCCGCTTTTTCTTCCCACTAGCCGCACCTTGATTTCCTCCCTTCGTCCACGTTGGGTCCTCTCCGATTCCTTCATCTTACTTCTCCATACGGGAGAACCATAAATACCAATAACAGATATGTCTGAAGTTCAAACAAGGCCTTCTGCCTCTCGTGGCAGGGTATCTACCCGTGGTGGCCGTGGCGGCTATAGCTCCAGAGGTGGTCGTGGTGGTAGCAGATCCACAAAGGCAGACAACTCAGACGGCGCACCCACCGCATATGAAGACGAGGGAGAGCTTGGTCAGATGAAGAAGAAATACTCGGACACTCTGCCCATGCTGAAGGAGCTGTTCTCTGATTGGACTGATGAGGATCTGGTCTTCGCTCTGGAGGATGCAAATGGTGACCTTGAGGAGGCAATTGATCGCATCAGTGAAGGTATGATTTTCATACTGCTACTTGGAATAGCTCAGTGTTTCTGGGTTTTACTGACGCTACTGCTTCTATTCCCACAGGCAATGTCGCTCAATGGGGCGAGGTAAAGAAGAAGACTACGGACCGCAGCCGCCCTAAGACCAAGGAGGTACAGAGCACTCCCGTCGAGACAGTCGCCCCCTCGGTTCGAGGTCGTGGCCGTGGTGGCTTTGAAGGTCGTGGTCGCGCCCGTGGTGACCGTGGTCGTGGAGGTCGTGGAGGTCGGGCCGGTGCTCATACCAACGGAACTCGCACGGAGAAGCCAGCTGTCGCCACTTCTGTCGAGGAGACCACAGCTACGCCTGCGGCTGCTCCTGAGCCTGCCGCGGCTACCAAGCCCGAAAAGACCGTCGATGCCGAGCCTGCTGCTGCAGAAAACGTTGACGATGGCGCCAAGGAGGCACCCAAGAGCAGTGTGATCCCGGAGGGCACAAAGAAGGGTTGGGCTAGCTTGTTTGCCAAACCGGCGCCGCCTCCTCCTCAGAAGAAACCTGCCGCTCCTGCTCCTGCTCCTGCTCCTGCACCCGCTCCCGCTCCTGCTACCACCTCTGCCCCTGCCCCCGAGAAGCCTGCTGCTGCGCCTGTAACGGAGCAGAAGCCAGTTGAAACCGCCCCGGCTCCTGCCCCAGCCCCGGCTCCTGCTCAGGCTCCTGTTCCCGTCCCGGTCCCTATCCCCGTTCCTGTCCCTGCCGAAAAAGCACCCGAACCAGCTATTCCTCAACCTCAACCGGCCGCAGAAGAAGCTCCTGCCGCTACTCCATCTTCCGCTGATGTCCCCGCTCCGAAGGATGACTTGACGAAGAACAACCTTGCCCAGATCCCCGATGTCTCTCCTCCTGCTCCCACGGCTACCGCAGCTAGCACCGTGGGCAGTGTCCTTGACTCTACTCACCTTGCAGCGGCTGCCACTCCCACGCGCGCTGCTCCTGGAACTTACCCTTCGAGTGCCTTCAAGCAGAGCACCCGCACCCCTGGCACTCAACGTCGTGTGATGGAACAACAGGAAGCTGTGGTCATGCCAGGAAACCATGCTGTGGATCGTGCTGCGGTCCAGTTTGGCAGCATGGGATTGAACGGCGATGCCGCCGATGTTGACATTGATGAGAACAGAGAAGAAGCTGAGACCCGTGCTCAGCCCCCTCAGCACTCCCCTGTTGCTCCTCGAGCCTCGTTGCCTCCTTCCACTCAGGCTCAGGTGCCCACTGAAACCCCTGCAGTCTCTCGCCCGGCTCCGGGACTTCCTCCCGTGCCCCAGGTCTCTGCCGCTGAAAACTCCTTCACTGACTTCGCCCGCTACACCGACGCTCATAAGCCCTACGATCCCTTCACCCAGCAGGTCACGCAGCCTCAACCCCAAATCCAGGAGCCCTTTGCCAACCAAGCTCCTGTGCAGCCTACCGTCACGACCGGAAGCGAGTATTCTCCGTTCTATGCCGTCGACCAACGTCTTCCCTACAACTACTACGGCACGTACGGTCAGTCTCAAGATGCCACGGTCGCTGCCCAGAGAGCAGGATTTGGTGTTTCTGGCGCCGAAGTGCAACCGCATGTTCCTACCACTCAGCCTCCTAGCCGCTACGGCCATGTTGAAGCTCCTAACAGTGGCCACACCACTCCTAACCCCACCCTTCCTGGCGCTACTCAGACCCCTACGGCTCAGCACATGCCTGGCCAGGGCGCTCACAGCTACGGCTACGGATACCCGTATTACTCCAACCCTCACTATGCTTCGTACATTGGCCAGATGAACCAGTACGGCAGGAACCGCCCGATGTACGATGATGCCCGGAGATATGATGACCACTACCTTCCTCACAGCACTCAATATGGTTACGGCAGCCAATATGGCCCGTACGGAAAGGCTGGAATGTATGGTCAGCCTCACGCCTTCTCGTATGACCACTCGTCGTCGCCCGCTACAGCGGCCACCTTCAACCAGGCCATTCCCGGTCGTGACTCGGTCTACGGCCGCACTGGATCCGCCCAGCCATCCGAGACTCAGCAGTCAGCAGCCGCCGGCTCCAATGCCTTCGCAACCGGCATGTCGGACGTCTTCGGTCGTACTCAAGGCGGCTTCGGACAGAACCAGCCGATCACCCAGCAGCCTCCGGTGACCACGGAGGAGACGAAGAGCTTCGATACTCCGAAGGCTGCGGGACCCAGTCCTTCTCTTGCCCAGGCTAACCGTCCTGGCTCCGCAACCAACAGCGCCGCTGGTCAGCCTCAGGCCCAAACCGGCCTTCCCCCGCTGCAGGGTCAGCAGGGCCAGCAGGGATTCGGTGGCTACCCCCACCTGAACCCTCAGTATGGCGGATTGGGTGCCCTGGGCGGCCACCAGGCTGCAGCCAGCCAGACCCACCACCAGCCCACTGGATACGGTAACTACGGCGGCGCAGGGTTTGCCAATTACTACGGAAACTCTGGACGCGGAGGCTGGGGAGGCAATTACGGTCACTAAAGGATTATGGCGTTGCATCTTTTCCGGGTGATGAGATTCCTATTGGCTCGTTTCTTTTTCTCTTTTACCTCGGGCGCGGCAAGCCCTGGATTGAAAACCTATCTCCTCTTATATTCACTTGTTAACACTTTTTCCCCTCTATGTCACTCTCAAGTGTGTAATCTCTACTCTCAATGAGAGCTTGGCTGGTTTTACATCTTTGGTTGATCTTTTCTGCAGGGTTGCGCTCATGATGTATTGAATGGAAAAAAACGTTATCGCTTTGTTTTTATTCTTACTTATGTTGCTTGTTCACGGTTTACGACATTTGCCAGTGTCTTCCTATTATATTCAGATGTGTTTTTTTTTCTACGCCACCTTTATCTCCTTTGCTCTCCGGCTTTTGCCCCTTCTCGATTCGGTGTCTGATGAAAACCTTTCCATGGTCTCTCTTGCTCTCATCTACCTTGCATACTTTCCGCTTCCTGTACTACTTCTTTGGGTTCGGTTGGGACATCGTTCATGCAAATTGGCTGGATTAGGACAAGGGATGGGGGTTAAAGAATGCAAAGAATTGACTGGGACGGCGTTGGACCTTGCTTTTTCTTCCGGTGTACAAAAAGTAACTCACTATAGAGACGGTGACGAGGGAAAAGACACAATGGAGTAGCGTGTGCGTTCCGAGCCTGAATCCGGGTCTTTCCCGACACCGTAACCACGACCGTAGCTGTGGACTTGGCTTGTGCTGGGACAGATTTAGTCTTCAGCTGACAATTCCGATTCTTGATGGTGATGCCTTCGGATTTTGCCTACATAGCAACAACCCATTCTCACACAGGCTAGTGAAGTAGTACGCGCCTACATATAAATAAGGAGGCCCACGATGGCCTGGTACTGCAGAGGCATCTAATGGTTTTTTTTCCATCTATGCTATAAACTACATATGTCATAGGAATGTTGAATCTCACGGCTACTATCAATCTAGATGTGCTTGGGAAAAGGTCACTTGTATTCATGCCCAGTAGGAAGAGGATGAAAGGATAATAAAGTGAATCTAGTTCATATCTCTTTCCTTCACCGTCTATGTTGAGTGTTAATGGGGAAATATCTCTGAAACCAAATCGAATTGATCACAACTATATTGAGCTGCTATGGCAAACCTGCTACCATAATCGATCATGTAGTCACATGTATATGAACTGCTGATTGGGAAGCTGGTTGATACAGTAGTAGGTCTAGAAATCTAGCATTGCCCGGAAGGTGCAGTAACTAGGCGTACCCGTGACGCACACACATACATAGAAGGTGGCTCTGATTCTATTGCCTAATTCAATCAAGTCCTTTGAATTCCGGTAAGTTCCTTCATCGCAGCCTACTATCGGGTTGCCCGGGTGTCAACTGGCATTATTCCCGGGGGTTGCCTCGTTGCACATATCCAGTGCCACGGAATCTCCCATTTGAATGCTCGTACAGAAGCTGAACATGCCGCTTTCCCTACTGCCCAAGTGGCTATATATTGAATGCCCCTTCCATTTACTTTCCCACCAATTCAACTGTACACCAGGCGTAGGCCGTGACAGCAACACCACTTCCCTGGAGGAAGACCTTCACCCCATTCCCTTCACTTCACTTCCAACACTTTACCCCCATCACTTTTCCCTGTTCCCCTGTCCCCATTCACTTCCTGCCTCTCGCTTCCCTTGGCTCGCACTTTCTCCCTTCCTCCTCCGCCCTCCCTCCTTTATAATCCCTCTCCTCCCTCATCCCAGCTCTCTTCTTTCCTCAACCTTGCCTACTCATCGCTCTTTACCCATCCATCTGTCTACGCCCATCTTTCCTTAGGCGGCTACGCCCATATGCGACACTGCCCATACGCAACAAAGCCCACACGCAGCACCGCCTAAGGCTCCCCACTGTAAAACCCCCCTACCTGGCTTTCAGCCATCATCCAGAGACTTCCTGTTGGAGACTTCCTCCAGTCAGGTAAGTTTGAAATCTGCTTTCAAAGCTACTCGTCTCTGAACCTGCTCGATGATGATTTCATTCCAGGGTCTTGCGTGCCTGGTCTTCTGAGAGCAGGTTACTTTTCTTCTATAACCCCTCTGCTTATCAATCCCTTTCTTTCTCACCCACACGGTGCCTGTTCTGAGTTGAAGTTTGTTGCCAGCCGGGTTCTGCTGGGCAGCAGTCGGAGGTCTATGCTTAGGCCTTCAGAGCTTTCTAAGCTTGAAAGACGTCCACTCAGAGCTATCGTGAGGCTCACATCTACTTCTCGGGGTCTTGAGGTAGGTTCAATACTTTCCGCCTCTGTGACGGTGATCATCTGAGAGGCATCTTTTCGGAATATTGGGCTATTCGTGGCTATACCAACTCTCCACTCCTGGGGGCTTTTGTGAACCGCAATATCTTCAGCGACGATGATACATCCACGCTGGATGAGCACGGGTTATTACATGCCACTGTTCGGGTCAGCCTAGATTCATCTCAGGTTGAACTTTCCCCGTCAGTTACCACGCCTCGAATGATGATATTCATAGGACGCCCTTTTGGGGTCCTTCTGAGGGGCATTCCCTTTCCCTGTTGCCTGTTACCCTGTTATCTTTTTGCTTCTTATATGCATATTATCTTGCCTTTACCCAGTCTTCTATTTCCTGGATCTTTCCAATTTTCCTGCACCTGGAGAGGCAATGCTGCTAATAGTCTGGATCCCAATGGTTCGACGGCAGAAATTGTTGGGGGCTAGGAACAGGGGTGGGCGCAGCTGCAAACACACAACAAATACACTAGGGTGATCTCATGGGTCCTACTTGAGGCACTGAATGTGCCATGCTCATGAAAAAGGTAAGACTCCCATCATTGATGTGTTTACTCGGTTGTTTCTAACCTGGCTTTCGTTACCTAGGACTTGTCGAAACTTCAACTAGAGCCGATCGAAGATTATCGATGAGTTGGTTGTTTAGGGGGCGTCGTGAATGCAATTGGAGGATGGTGAATAGTCTATGTTGGCCATGTTGTTTGATCAAAATGTTTCGGTTCCTTGGTGTCTGCGAGACCATCCGCTGGGATCTCTTCTGCTGTGCTACTGTTGCACTATTGCATTTGTGTTTTCCTTTCTTGTACTTCAATCTGAGTTACCCTTGGTGGTGCTGGTCTACTTCTCTTGTCCACTACCAATCTTCTGCCGGGGACAAAGCATACCCACACACCTTATAATCGGGCATTGGCGCCTTCCTACCATGATCAAATGCTTTCAATAATGCACCAAACTCTTCATTGCACACAAAGTACATGCGGTGAGAGGTAGAGGCAGGTTCCATGTCCAAATGTCCTAGGCCACCTCCCGATGGGTATTTAATACATTCACACTGATACATATGAGGCCGCTAGACGATGCTGCTGCTAGCTACGAACAACATGATGGTCTAGACCCTTTTAGCTGAGTGTATACGCTTACTAAATTGTCGACCTATGTGTAATAATTCCGCATAGGCGCGCTCGTCCTGCATATTCAACGGATCGGAACCTTCCACAGCACATTACCGCTAGCATTAGCACATGATTATAGAAGCTACTTTTCTTCTCGCGGCAGGGTGCGATCTGAGCATTTTGGCACGAGATGTTATGATACTACTTCATTCAAGATGGCCATGGGTGTCAGTTAGTTCTACGTTTCCTCGCCGAGTATTTGGGGAGTTCAGTTGGCCCAGGGAGGTGCCGAATGACCTCTAAAAGATATATATAATCGATCCAGAACGTCAAACCAAGACACGCGCGCCCTCGTAACACAACCGAAACAGAATCCAAGCAATTGAACTACTAAGTCTGCTCTCAACGGAGGAGGGAACCCATAATAGATCAAGTTCCATAAGTACTATCCGGTAAAATGCCATTGTAGACAAGACAATCCATCCACTCATCCTACCTACATTTACCACTTTTCCCAGCCCCGGCACACAGCGGTGTCAAGTTGATAAAGCCTTATTAATCAAGCTAAGCAGCAACTTTCAAACAAATCAAGGTGCTGTAGTGTAGTGGTCATCATGAAACGTTGTGGTTTTCCCGCAGCGCCGTTTCGACCTGGGTTCGATTCCCAGCAGCGCCAAAAATTGGCGTGTGTGCTTGATTTGACTTGATTTTTTTTGTTCTAACCATCTTCGGATGGGATCTTTTAATATTCCAAATTATTGTTATTATTTGTTTTCTTTTAAATTATTATTCGTTTCGGGAAATGACAACCGAATAAATAGTAAAATCACATGACTCTGGTAAACATCCTGCTTCCCTCGTTCGTAGAATGTCTGCTGGTGAGAGAACTAGTCTGTTGTTCATTGTCAACTGGGGTTGTGCAAGGGAAATATCTAGGAAGCATAGAATTGGTATCTCTGGATTTCTCTCCCAAGGTGCTCGAGGTCGCCAGATACATGTAGAAATGAGGCAGAAATAATTTACAGTCCTAAAGGGAAAGAATATCACGTCTTCAAGCCATAAGGGTAGAGCGGATGGTATGAGGATCGCTTTTATAAAAAGCCTTCAGAACTTTCTAACTCCCGGCGAAAGCTCCCCAAAGATAAGATCATTGTATGCAGGGATGTTATGACATCCCACCTAACCGACCAGGTTCACTTAAGCTCCGATTCGGCCACTCCAACCACTCAGCCCAGCTCGGGCCTAGATGCCTGCTGATGGACTCGATGAGAAAGCGGCCACCATCGCCAAACAGCCACAGATGCCGATGCCAGTATAGAATAACGGCATAATGAGCTAAAATTACCAGAGCTTCGGGCCGCTGCATTGCCAAGTGTTCGGCATATTCAGGGCTGACTATGACAGGCCAGCCCGTAACACCCACGACATTTTTCAGCGAGGCCTTGAGAGCTGCATTCATAGACATCTGCAGCGCCTGTATCGCACCCCGATAGGTGGAAGTGATGGAGTCGCCCAGCTTAGCCCCTTCAACGAGCCTCAAGAGTCCTGCGCACTCGGGTCCAAGTTTCGTATCCCACTCGAACAAAATTGCTCCGTCTTGAAGCGGTTTCCTGAGGATTGACTCTCGTAGTGATTGCCATGTAGTTGAAGAAATCACGACGCGAATACCCATTTGGAGTTTGAGACAACGCACAAATCGCTCTATAAATGTATCGAAACTCGTCTCTTCGCGGTGAACCAAGACGTCACACAGAGTGTGCATGCCGAGAATGCAGGAGAAAAGAAATAGTGGGACATTGCTCTCCTGGTTCACCTCGAGTCTCCTTTGATTGTAAATTTCCAATGCATGCGTTTGTAGATGGGCTGCATGGCGCCGATACCACTCTCCGTTTTCTGGATGCACTATACTCAAGTGTAAAGCACTCATTGCAAGCATTTGATTGATGAGATAGGGCGTTGAGACGACCATTCGCATCACTTCCGGAGCACCAAGCCAACCGGTCTCCCCTTCGCTGAGACTGCCGAGGGTGTAGTTCACCAAGTTGAAGAACAGCTCAGCGTGAAGCATATTGACGGGGGGACTGTCAGAAAGAGAAGATGGATGTGCAGGCGACCGCAAGGATATTTCACTCGTCACCAGGCCAGCAGGTGACGGGGTTGATGACTTGCTTGACCGCGAATGGGCCGCCCGTATGAACGGATCCGCGTATTCGCAGGAACGTTCCGAAGACCGACAGTTGGAGCATATCGGTTGTTTCTCGTCGCACTGCACATTGTCAGAGGTTGATGCTACAGGTGTGCCTGACACTCCCATCAAACTTACTTTTATGTGGCGCCGCTTACATTCTAAGCAGCCATTGCGCGACTTCTTATGTGTCCTACGCGGCATCCTTACGATAACTTGGTCGATTACTGAAAGCGCATCTTCCGGTGCACATGCGCCTAATGTGGCGATGGTGGTGAGTAGTATTGTTCTTGCCTGGCGTGCCTCGTGGTCATTGATCTCCGCCCATGGCTCCAAATTTGGCGATAAGCTTAAAGTGTGCCCGGCCAACAGTCACAACGGGCCCGTAAAAGATTTAGGGTTGCTATTTTCAGAGTCTGGGATGTAGCAGAGATTGGGACGTGTGAAAGAGGCAAAAGCAATCAAAGCCAGACTTGGGGGGTTCATGAAGAATCCGCGTATGCACAGACCACTTTGCCCGCACTAAACTATATCGGGTAGCATCGCCAGGCACGGATCGAGTCCGACACCTTCGAGAAAGGCTGAGTTCTATACGCGTACTCAGATTCTGCGATTCCATCAAGAAAAGATTGTCCTTTTTCTGCGGTCCAACCACGTGCAAAATGGCGTCCAAGAGACATATAAGACCAAGATGGGGGCAGCATTCGAGTCCAATCTTGCAACAATCTCACCTCCATAGCTGGATCACTCGATAAAGGTCCCCGAGCGAAGAGACAAACTACATCAGTCCATCATGGCCAAGCTGGAACCCTATGTGCCAGGCTACTACCTGTGGAGCTACATGCCCTCCATTGCGGCAGCGGCTATCTTTCTCGTCCTCTTTCTGGGGGCCACCGGAATCCACTTCTTCAAGCTATTCCGATCCCGAGCATGGTTCAACATCCCCTTAGCCATTGGCGGCATCTGTATGTGTTCCTTGATACGATATATATACCCCGCAAAAGAAAGACTCATCAACTAATACAGAGCACAGTTGAGTTCATCGGTTTCATCGCAAGAATAATCTCGCACTTCCATACAGCGGAGCTTGGGCCTTACTCTATGCAGAGCGTGCTCATCCTCCTCGCTCCAGTTCTCTTCGCCGCATCTGTATACATGACGCTAGGTCGGATCATTCGGAGCGTCGACGCAGAGCAATACTCTATAATCTCTCTTCGCTGGTTGACGAGGGTCTTTGTGACGAGCGATGTTCTTGCCTTCCTCATTCAAGGCAACGGAGCGGGCTTGCAAGCGGTGGAGTCAATGCAGACCTTCTCCAAAATTATTGTTATCGTTGGCCTTATCTTCCAAGTGGGAATGTTCGTTTTCTTCATCATTGTCTCGGTTGTATTTCACAAGCGTATGCAAAGGCGTCCGATATCCGGAGCACAGTCACCGTGGAAGTATCACATGCATACGCTCTTCGCGGTCAGTGGTCTCATCCTGGTTCGGTCAATCTATCGTGTTGTTGAGTATGTGATGGGGTATGACGGATACCTCCTGACGCATGAGTGGCCACTCTATGTGTTCGACTGTGTGTTGATGTGGCTCGTTATGGTAATTTGGGCTGCGAGGTATCCTGGCGATATCCAGACAGGAAAGCCTGAGATGGAGCTCCTTGTGACACGGAGCGATGATGGTACGACTGTATGAGATTTAGTAGACTTTTCTTTGTACATAGAATGTTATGCAATCTCAAATTTAGCTTTATTGTTGGATAAAAGCCAGTCATGCATTGTACGTTGTAGATCGCAACAAAAATGCTCGAATTGATCGTGCGCACCTGCGTTATCATCAGAGGTACTGAACTAACAACAAAACCTGCAAGTGTCCAGAGCTAAAGACGCACGAGGGGCATGAATAGAAGAAACTTCTTGACGAGAACCGACAGGTTGCTAGTGGATCCAATATGTAAAACCTATCATGCACATAAAAGGAAAAGCAGACGAAGCCAACAGATGACTGCACCGGCTACGGATGACCAACCCACAAGCCAGAAAAGAGAGGACATTTTCCGACCCCACAGAGCCATCGTGATCCCGTCTGAAGGTTCTCGACCCCTGCATTGACCAAAGAGTATTTGGAAGCAGCAATTACTGTATATAGAACAGTCTACATCTCCCCCACAAGAGCCCCATAGATCCTCAACTTGGTACTAGCAAAGCACATCCACTGATTTCCATTCAGCTCTTCTTTGCTAACTGCTTACTGTAAATAGTCTAATGGACGGAAGTTACGATCTGCATTCCTGACATCCAGTCTTAACCGGTTGGTAGTGACTATCAGACGTCCAAGACCGCTTAGTTGAATCGAATTTTTCCAAATATTGGGTGCCTCGGGGTTTATCCTATTTTTCCTTTCCAACACGGCAGAGTAATAATCATTGGATTCTGTGTATGTCTGACTGACTAACTGACAACATCGAGTGACTTTCTGGTATCAACGATCGCCATGACGGGCCCTGTGCAGAATTGACATCGACTGACGTCTCTCAAAATGTGGTAGCTTTCAAGGGATCAAGATCCAAATAACAACAAGGTTGGATGCATGGCCTGTGCAGGAACCCAGGTTCTTCTGTTCTCAGTAGTGCTGAAGACGATGACGATGGATCAGGACCCGCTGGCCAGGGCCAGGGGTGTTCATCGCATCCCAAATGTTGGGTTTCTCTGATAGAGGTAATTTCAATAAGGTTTGATGGTCAGACAATGACTGATTCATGAAGCGAGTGGCGTAACGGACCGAAGGCTGATCCGAGGTAGACAGCCCGAGACTATTGAATCTAGTATTGCCCCGTTGGAGGAGATCAAAACGGGGAGAAACCCTAGTCAGCGATAATGCGGGCTCAAATTACCTAGGGTTATCAAACAAATTCTCATTACTCCGTTGTGCGAACTGCATCTTTCCAATGTTGCTGGGATTCGCTGATTATCCAGCCGTCGTTACTGTTCTATATACAGGTGCCGAAACATCTCCACCAAAGCCAAATAATAGATCCTGTTATGAAAGCAAACGTACTCTATAGTGGCACTTGTTCATGCCATGTTCGCCAGATCACTCGTCCACCCGGACTATAAAAGAGGTTGATTAAACGCAACGTGTATATCTGCCGACCGTCGACCCATTTCATGCAGTGATTCCCAGACCCTCGCCGCCGGTCTTGTGGTAAGGGGGCTTGGCGTCCGCAGCGCTGGTAGGGTCGAACCGCCAGACACCGCCGGTCTTGTCGCTCTCCAAGGACGTAACGCCGATCATTCTCGCAAGTCGCCAGAATTCCTCATCGTCGGTGTCGTTGACACGCTTGAAGAAGCGTCGGTCCCACTCGCGGCCTTCCGACTTCTCGACCTTGCGAAGCTCGCGCTGGGCGTTCTCGATCTTCGACTTGGCCACGGACACGGCATCCATATCGCCCCGCTCGATGCCTGCCGCAACGTCGCGCCATGCCCGCCGGCTCTCATAGAGGTCTTGCTGGTCGACGGGCGCCAGAGTCAACGGGGTGGTCTTCGTGTCCTTGACGGAGAATCTATCCACCTCATGCTTGCGGGAGTCTTTGATGACGAAGGAATCCGACCATTGTCCGTCAACAGTGTACAGAGGCTTCTTCTCGCCCTCGTTTTCCTTGAAAAGGATGGCGCTGAAGGTGTTCTTCTTGCCACTCAGCCAGCCCTTGCCAGAGTAGTCAATCTTCGCCACGTAGCCAGTGCTGCTGGCAATGCGAGTGGACTTCTCCAATTCGACAAACGGCGTTCCGTAGATAAGGGATTCAATGTGCAAGTGCGGGAGGGTGATCAGGTACCGCTCCTGCTGAGAAGGATCGTTCTTATCCGCACCCGGAGGAGTGAGGGTCAACAGGGCATGTCCGATCTGTTTGATTTGAATGGTGCTGGAGAAGGATGCCTTCTGGGCATTGTATCCTTGGAGCTACAATGTGAAATTCATAATCAGAGCCACGTCGTACATCGAATCTTGGATAGCTACATACCTCGACGCCGTGCTTCTCGTTTCGGATAGCATAAGCAGTAGCAGGGGGATGGTGGCTGAAGCGGTCAATACGATCCAGATGCAGAGTGGGTACAATAGTACCACCTACCTGACTTGCTCACTGACCAAGGTGGTCTCGCCCACATCCGCATCGGCATCCCATTTGCCAAGGAACAACTCTCCCAGGAAAGGGTTCAAGGGCTTCTTTTCGCTACCGAGCTTCTCACTGCGACTGCAGTATTGCTGGTGAAGAGTGCTGAGGAACCACTTCAAGACGGCCAGAGCTCTCTTCTCTGGATCCGCTTCTTTTGCGGCAGCCACAAAAAGGCCTGGGTGTTCGGCCCAGTAGGCAGAATATTCAGTCAAGGAGGTGGACGAGAGAATAAAGGGCGGGGCGGTCAGGGAAGAAAGATCTCCGTTGAAGGAGGCGATAGACTGAAGGAAGGAACCAGATCGGTTAGCCAAGCTCCGTAAAGCAATACGAGATAAGACAGTCTAGGATGTGGGACCAATTGCCTAGAAGAAAATCGGTCATTCAAACTTCATACCTTAAGGAAACTTGTCCAGGAACCTTTGCTGTGGGCGGGGACGCCGGACGCTGAATCCTTGCTGGAACTCATTTTGCAGATGTAAAGACAATATCTCGACTACTGATTTGGGTACAAAACCGCAGGACTGGCTAAGAATAAGCCCTGGGAGGACGGTAGAGAAAGAATGAAGCGGGGAAGAGAGAAGGAAGAGGGGAGAGGCACAGGAGGGAGACAGATGAATATGTCATGGGGAGGGGAGAGTGGAAGAGGAAAGCGGCCGGAGGGCGATCGGGTCACCCACCAAACCGAATTCAAGCCACCCGCGCAGGGGGTCAGCTCTTTCGACGTCATGGGTGGCTGAGCTAAGCTCTGCGGATGTTCTTGTCCTGCTTGCTTTCCCATGGATAGGGATGACTTCCAAAGTCAAGGGATGAAAAAACACAATGGACTGAGTTTCTGGATGCCAGCCTCATTCTATCACCGTATTCTTTGGGCGGCTTTTCACATTCTCGACTCGCGTGCCACTTGCGTCTTAGCTTCGTGGCGGAGATTATATTAAGCCAGCCACTCCGTTAATCCTGGTGTGCCTACTACGCAGTGGAGAATAACTGAATATTAAGATGTAATAACGGGCGGGCAAAGAAAAAGAAAATAAGGGAAGAGGAGGGGGCAAAAAGAAATTATAACAAGATGTGCAAAAATAGACCGCAAAAGAAATCCGTGATTGTTGTTACAAAAATCCTCTACTCTCTACCATTACCCCTGATCTCGTGATAGCTTATCAGTTGACTTGGCGACCGAACTGTGGCTGGAAGTTCCCCAACAGCAAAAATTACACTGTACCGATCACTAGATCTTACACTGGCATATCATATTTATCGCTGGGCTTGTATAGTTGAATTTTAGATACGAATTCTTGCCTTTACTCTGCCATACCGGGCGCCGTATGTTGTCTATCTGTCGCTCAGCTTGATTGCAACTCCATCGATTATCATGCTCAGCATGACCATTGGGTCAAGGTTGCCTGAGTGGATCGGGACTGACTGCAAGCTTCTAACACAGTGGTCCCAAGGATAGCCTCCACCACAGACCGGATGAGTGGAAGTGAAAGGCTTTCCCGGGGTTGAAGCTTGACGAAAGCGGAAGGTTGACCTCCTCATTGTTGAAACCTTGGGATGTTACTGTGGAGGGTCCGCCTTCTCGGTCAACCACCTTCATACGGAATGAGACCGGGTTTCGAAGGCCTCGATTTCTGTCACCTGTATAGATGGACACACACGCACATCCTCATATCGATGTATCTTGTGCCTTTCCCCTGAGGTCTTCGATCAGATCAACACCGTCATTCGAAGTCATCGATCTTAAGCAGCTGATCAAGTAGCCCTACATCCAAGAGACTGTCAATGATTGCCAAGTAGTACGAAACCAAATTATATTGAAGTGGGCGCGATCGACCAGGCAGGAAGCACGAACTTGTCGCTCAGCTCTCCTGAATCGTGTGAAGTCCCCAGTCTCCACCGTGGCCCTAGTATCTGGGCCGATTACTGGGTGTTCGACACGAGAGCTGCCGTACCCCGGACGCTTTTGAGTTTTCGCAAGATTACTAAAATAACTTCTGCCATCTGGAAAACTCTGTGCAACAAATTATGGACTCGGTCATTTTTAACATGCTTCCTGAACTCGGCTGCTGATTCAAAATGGCTTACACGCCGTTGGTTGTGCAGGAAATCGTTCCTGGCGCCCCTGTGCAGATCGAGTTCTTATCTCCGCGGCAAGCTAAGGTTCCCGGCTTTTGCCCCAAGCTTATAACTAGTTTCTCAAGCGTGCTCGGCGTCAAAACGGCTATGAGCATCAATGGTCTAGCGGCTACCAAAGTTTGATCTGAGCTAACCTTGTATGTGGATATTGCAGAAGGCTCTGCTCTTACTTCTCTGGGCGATTGAGTGTTTTTAGGGGCTGTTAGTCTGACAGTCTCGCCCTCTCACCGACGATAGTTGCGCTGAAAAATGGAGCCGTGGTACTCCACGTGTAGTCGAGACTCTCTGCCTTTTGCTGGCCAGGTTTCTTAAATCTGCTGGTGACTCCATGGTACTAAGGCATTCTTTTTGGATGCTTAACCACTCATTTCTGTACAGTATCTAGGTGTCTGGGTGCTATGGAGCCCCATCCTCTCATTTGATTTTGATCCATCACAAATTCATCTAGATACACTCTTTCTTTATCATAAATCGACCTTTTCCTTGCATAATGTACTTCATGACTCTATACATTCGCTCTGAAAACCAAGCAGAATCATCTCAACAATAACGGAAGCCTTATCTCTGTGCCTGGTGTGACACAAGTCATTCAAGAGTGACTTTGAACAGCGTCGACGACCAAGCAACATGTTCGACCAAAAGTTCTTGAATTCGTCCTCGACCCTCGTCGTCCCTAATGGACGTCAGAGCTCCAGACACGAGCATCGACCGCCTCTCAACTCAACCATTACACTCATTCAAGCCACCACTCACGACTCAGACCGTACTTTGCCTCATGAAAGCATTCCCGAAGAAGTCCATGACGATCAGTACAACCGGTTCTCGCCTACTCGAAAAATCACTGTCGTTATCATCCTTTCATATTCTGCTATCCTTGGACCCATATCCTCCACTGCCATCTTAGCCTCTGTCCCCGAGATCGCCAGAACATTCGAAACAGACGCAGATATTATCACTGCCAGCAACGCTCTTTACCTAGCTTCCATGGGGATCGCTGCCCTCCTCTGGGGTCCTTTGAGTCAAATCTCGGGCCGTCGTCCGGTGAGTGACATCCGTACATTCATACTGTTCCGCTAAACCCTAACAGCTGCTCTCTTAGATCCTCATCGCTAGTTCCATACTATTCTTTCTTTTCACTGTGGCCACAGCGCTATCCCCCAATCTGGAAGCCTACTTTATCTTCCGCATATGTGCCGCGTTTCAGGGAACTGCATTTCTTGTGCTTGGCAGTGCTACCGTGGGAGATATTTATGAGCCAATGTCTCGTGCCTTACCATTGGGATGGGTATTGTCAGGTAGTGTGACCGGGCCTGCCCTTGGTCCCTTTCTAGGTGTATGCCTCATCCACAACGTATGATTCACCTATCTGTGCTCAGCTGACACCTTCTAATAGGGGGTCGTGGCTACCTTCCGCCCATGGAGATGCATTTTCTGGCTGCTTGCTGCATTAAACGGCTTCGCAGCAGTCCTCATCATGATATTTTTTCCGGAGACCATCAGTCACAAATCAAACACCCATTTCAAAGGGAAGAGTCTGCCTCAGCAAACCAAGCAACTATGGAGTCACATCTCCCCCCTTCGTATTGCGCGCTTGGTCTTTTCTTACCCGAACATTCTCCTCACTAGCCTTACTGCCGGCGCCTTAGTATGGAATCAATACGCCCTTCTCACCCCCATTCGCTACGTCCTCAACCCTCGCTTCCACCTTGAAAGCCCCATTGAAGCCGGCCTCTTCTACCTCGGCCCCGGTGGTGGCTACATATTTGGCACCTTTTTCGGTGGCCGTTGGGCCGATCTTGTGGCTCGGAAATACATCCGTATCCGCAACGGACAACGCATACCAGAAGACCGTCTCCGCTCTTGCGTCTCCTTCATCCTTTTTGCTATTCCGGCATGCATCCTTGTTTATGGTTGGACGGTTGACAAAGAAGTCGGGGGAATACCAGTCCCCGTTGTTGCTATGTTTATTCAAGGGGTGGCCACGATGTTCTGCTTCCCCAGTCTGAATACTTACGGACTGGATGTTATGCAGGAGAGTGGTAGAAGTGAGGAGGTTGTCGCGGCGAACTTCGTTTGCCGGTATATGTTTGCTGCCCTCGGGTCGGGTGTTGTTCTACCTGCTCTTGAGGCAATGGGCGTGGGGTGGTTCAGTACCATCTCGGCGCTGTTGCTGGTAGCTGTAGGTGGTGGCTTATATCTGACCGCGGAGTATGGTCCTCGATGGAGGGAAGCGGTTGATTCAAAGCTTCAGGTCAAGAAGGAAGAAAAGTGGAAAAGGAAGAGCGCCTCGCATGTTTAAATCTTCGGCAACCCATCTGGGTCGCCACGTCATAAGCATAATACCCAACTGCATTGATGATAGATCTCGGCCGTGCCGCGACCGATATGACAGTTTTTGGTGGCTTCTTATCATTCTAATGTAAATATCACAGATTTTAGCATATTGACTTAATGACTAGGCTACCTCATATAACATGACTTTGACGGCTAGGGTTTTTACCGACTTGTCCTCTCTTCCCTGATTTCACCACTGACTTTAGATAAATGCTGCTCGAAAAGTCTCCGTAATAGCTACAAGAGGATAATTGTTTAACAGTGGTTACAGGGGCATAAATGTGAAGGGGACGGCTTGCGGGGGTACGGAAATAGATCGCGAGGCTGCACACCCGCACGCTGAATAAACCCAATCTTTTGTTACTCCGCCGGCACTGATCGTCTCGCGCCCCTCTTTTCCCAACTATTATTCTCTCATTCCAACACCAACCCCTATGTTCTATCTGGCACCATTGTCGTGCTTCTTGTTTCTTGTTGTTGTATCGCGGTCTCTCATTCCATTCTAGCTTGATGGTCCACCTTCGTTTGCCGAGATCTAAAATTAGTCGACTCCACTGGTTCTTATCGATAAACCAAACGCGTGTACCCCATCGGCTCTGCCCCTCCCACGGCACCACAGCTTCGTAACAGTTCATCTTGATCTTCCATTCCACTAAGGAGGATTCTCACAATGCCTTTGAATGACCTGCAGAAGCAAATTGGTCAGGTATGATATCACTCGGCCTTGTGTTGCCCATCAAGAAACATCCGACTGAACTATGGCGGAGTTTAGCTCTTTGCGGTCGGTTTCCATGGCCTTACTCCGAGCCCAGAAATAAAGACTCTGATCCACGAATATGGTATTGGAGCGATCGTGCTTTTCGAACGAAATGTTAGCGATGCAGCTCAACTCCAGGTGGGTGACCCCCTCTGTGACAAATTCATGGCTATCCGCAGTACGCCCGCGTCCAGAAACAGTGACTGATATCATATTTCCAAACAAAGGCTTTGACGCATGCTCTCCAAGAAGAAGCACGGTCAGCAGGACACGAGCACCCCTTGCTCATAGGAATTGATCAGGAGAATGGCCTCGTCACCAGGGTATCGCCTCCAGTTGCTCCACAACTGCCGGGCCCTATGGCTCTAGGCGCCACCAATTCCCCCGAGCTCGCATA